ATCGAACGTAACAAAAGGAAATTAAGATCAGTCATCATTATGAGTCATGAGCGTGGGGTGAAATATTTTCATAATTTGTATATTGAATCCGTCACTTACCTAATCATAATGTATACTTTTGAAATATTGGAATAACATAAAAATCCGTAAAAATATATTAAAACATCTAAAATTAAAATGTACTTTTTCAAATTTTTCTTTACTTTCTATGCTTAATCGTGATTAAACTCTTGAATGTCGTAATTTACGGATAAAAAAAAATAAATATACTACAACAATTTAATACTTTGATTTGTGATTATTTTTCAAAATCAAAGGACGAAATATTTGGATATAGGGCTTTCAAAATTCCAACTCTTATTAACGAATGAACAATATTTCAGAGACGAGTTTTTTCTGTAGACCAAAATGTTCACTCCACTATGATCGTTAAAGTGTAACTTCTACATGGCGTAATTGCCAGGAAAGCTCGTCGACGAGCTTCAACGAGAAAGCACAAAGGACTGTCTCCAATTGGGCCTTGTCAGAAAGACAAAAGAATACAATTACATTACAAGGAACAAGAGGGAAAACAAAAAGACTCGCGAGTTGCCTCTTCGAAACGACGAAACCGGGACATTGACCTTTAGACACGGTTCTTGGACGTTCCGATAAAATCAATACGAAATCCTCGCAACCTTAATCATATCGTGTTACTCTTTTACCTAAAAGGTTTCACGCCTGTCAGTTATAAAATATTGATATCGATGTCCAGATATCTGCATGAGAATATTGGATAAAATTTTAATTTCATACGAGATGGTCTTCATACCAGATATCGACTTATTATAATTCCTTTTTAATTAAATGAAACTAAGTTATTAATTATGTTTCATTGCGATAAACTCTATGCCGACTATCTGAAGTTTATAACACTCTATCTGTTCAAGCTCGTATGAATGCAATAATAATTCAACTTTGAGGTTTATTTCAATCCCCACGTAGTGAGAAATGAATACAGATAATGTTGGAGTATTAGAGTATAATGCGGTGTATAAGAGAGGTATTCTCTTCGCCGCAGCTCATATACCGTATCCGCACTGTTGTACCGAGAATAATTACGTTCCCTAAACGAGCGAACGCGTAGACCACAATGTGGTGTGGCCAATTTCTCGGACTTTGTTCGTTCCTTTCCAACCAGCATATCACCATTACGATTACCGATCTAAAAGGAACCGTTCATTCGTGAAATCGAACTGAACTTTTCATGGAACAAAGACCAGAGATTTACAGTACCGATTCATTGAACTTCTATAAGCTAAAATTTGCGATTGAAATATTCATCGATTGTTCTGAATGTATACAATGCAAAACAGTAGACGATAAACTAAATTGAACTAAATTACATTTATGGAATCATAAAAATCTTTTTCCCATTCACGACTGTGTTATATCTTAATGGATCGTTTGAAAAATTTCCTGCACTTTCTGCAAACGTGCGGTAAAAAAGTATTTGAATAGAGCACTTCTCACCCAGGAATAAAAGGTACACGGATAATTAGCACAATGAATGGACGCTGCATCTCTCGTTAAACGTTCTTCATACTCAAGTATTCATCCACAAGGAGCAAAGATTCTATTGTAACTGTATTAATGCTAGTAGATAAATATACGTAGTTTATCGTTACTTAAAAAGCTTCTTCATCAACTCAATGATTTAGTATTAAAATTGATTCCTTTTGATACGATTACGATAAAGATACTTCTTATTAAATATAAATAACAGCTGCAGAATAATAAATATGCTACATGTGACCTACCTGAACCTGGCACCCGACTTTGAAAAAATGAATTTTTTCCAATTGCATTGTATTCTCCTTCGTTTGTACCCGTTTGTACCACCTTCACTTTCGTTTGTACCTCAAAGGGTTCGTTTGTACCGACTTTTGAAAAAAGCACCAAGGGGCAACTTCGCCATTTTTGTATATTTTTTATTTATATTAATGACATAAAGACTATAAATATTGTGTAACTAGTATTACTAACTTCAAATCTACGACCTACAGTATTTCATCGTCTATGCGTTGGTTGGAAACTCTATAGTGGCTCGTTAAAAGAAAGGAACTTCTTTTACTTCTTTAACATCACCCCCATAACATGGCAGATAGAAAAAAAGACGTGTTGAATATTTTTATAAAACCTATATTTCCCCAAAGTTTCATCAAAATAGGCGTATTACACTTCGATATGTTCCATTGTATGTGCTGTTGAGTCGCGAAAATAATTCTTTGTTGGAAACAGTAATGTTTTTCTCGGTAATTATTTAGATTATGGACGGCAACTCCGACTTCAATGATTTTTAAATATGTTGTAGAAATCAACTTAATATTTTGAACAAATATACGCGTTAATGCTTAAGCAATTAGAAAACAGCACCCACAAGGAGATTTGAAAAATCTTCAACAGTGCCAAAGTTACCCCATGCGGGTTTTTTCAAAAGTCGGTACAAACGAACCCCTTGGGGTACAAACGAAACTGAAGGTGGTACAAACGGGTACAAATGTTTCTTTTTTAATTGGCGTTGAAAGAAATAAAAAATGTTAAAGTGGGGTGCTAGGCTATTTTCACCCCCTTATATCTTTTCACCCCTTAGGGTACAAACGAAAAGGAAAGTGGTACAAACGGGTACAAACGAAGGAGAATACAATGCAATTGGAAAAAATTGATTTTTTCAAAGTCGGGTGCCAGGTTCAAGTAGGTCTACATGTGCTCGCGGTAGCTAATGTCTGACTAAACTCATTTCTACTACTGCAATTTCTGCTATTCGGTAAAAGGCTCTTCACGAAAGTAATACTGAGAGTAATATAAATAAATTTAATGTAAATATCAATCCATCCAATTATGTTTGCTGCTTTTAGTCTCTGTATGACTCATGCGTTGCTCTTTCGGTTCTCGAGCAAGTAGTATAGATCAGTGTATGGTCAGACAGCGGATCAATTTCCACAGATTCAATTATGATTCTTCTGTTGAGTTTAAAATCAGATGCTGCGTGTATTCTTATTTTATTTATCAAAAATATAGATTCGTTTGAAATATATTGAATTTTATTTCTACCCCTTTTGAAACGCTTGAATTTATGAGACTCCCTTATTAATAAAAGCATCTCGTATCGGTTCTCGTGGAATACAAGGCAAACAGTGCCGTAAATTTTTCCCGTACACTTTGCTGCGTAACCTACATCCACAGTTTAGCAGAAAATTCCAACGCCGTCATATCGGTACACCGTGAAATCTATTTAAGAAACTTCGCTCGTTGGATGGATATTACAAAAGCGGTATGCTTCGACTGTTTCGTATTCACCAACTTCGTGTAACTCCATCTTGCTTCAACTTAAATTCTCTTTTCAACGAGGAATCCCTGGAAGCGTCTTATCTGATATAGCATCGCAGGTGCAATCTTCATCGTGCTCGCCTGGAGACACGTTTCGCGCAATACCAGCAAAACAGTTCCTTTAATATAGGATACTTTTGTCCGTCCGCCCTTGCACGACTTCGAACGAACAATTTTTGATAATAAAACTTGAATTTGATGAAATGAAAGCCATAGCTGTGGTGAGTTATTCTTTTTTTTTTTTCAAAATAATATCCAACTTTCTTCAATTAGAAGAAGCAATTTAACCGACCGATTAAATACCTACATAGGTTCTTTATAATATTCTCTGAGTGCTAATTACGTGTAAATTTTTCATCCTCCCTTCTTTTTTACTCTCGAGTACCTTTTTTGTCTCTTTCTTCCCTCAAATGCAACGATACGCGAGTAAAAAAATATACGCAGTCTGTGGCAGTGAAGCGTACCTCGCGAGGACTCGTGTACATACTAAGTGGAATACCATACTCAACCCTGCTCCTCTCAAAGCGCTCAAACTTAAAGCTGTTCCCAAAGTAGAACTCGTTGTCGCTCTACTGCCTTCTTCAAAGCACTCACGCAGGTAAACTGCAACCCCGTCATCCCCTTTCCAATCTTCATTTAATAAAGCTACTCGTTTTAATGAAGATTCAACATATTTGACTAACACAAGCAAGTGCAACTGTGACACGCGATAGAATAATAAATATATCAATTTAAGACGCTGATGAAGAAGTCTTTCAATGAATATTAAACGTTTCTTATCAAAAATGCACTCTGTGCGCATGTATCCGTTGCAACAGATCTACAAGTACGTTTAAAGTATCATAATGGAAGCGTGGCTTAATTATACTCATTATAAATTCAGAGGAGCATTTTCGCTGTGAGAGAACAAAGCGTGCGAATAATTAGGGTAAATCGATACTACATTCTCTCGCTAAAAATATTCCCAGCTAAAGTTTCATTGCATTTGTATTTAATTGCGTCCTAAGAACTTCCTAATGTTTCAATGAAATGCAAGAATGCATTCGTTGTCAAATTCAATAACATAGCATGCATATATGTACAGTGAGAGGCAAAAGTAAGTAGACATTGTTCAAAATAGAATACCTTGGTAAAAATTGGACTGAATAACTTGAGATTTTTTGAGAAGCCATAAAAATTAATTCACTAAAATATGTATTTTCATCGTTTTAAAAAATTACAATTTGTTAAAATCGTGAAAAAAAATAGTGAATGGTAATTTTTCAACTTTTTTATGCGAGTCTATAATGAAAATTTAGAATATGTCTTTCGTACATTGATTCAGATAAGTTATGTGTATGCTGAAAAGTTCATCGAGATCGGTCAACGCATTTAAAAGTTATAAGTAATTAAAATTTCCGAAAATCGCGACTTTTCATCTAAGAACTTCTTGCCTCTCACTGTACATAAGTAGAATACCGAAGAAATGAATGAAACAAAATTTAAACGCGCTAGGTATTAAGAACCCCGTCTGTATGAGTGAACAGAGAAACAGCGAAATTAATGAAACAATAGAAGCATTCAACGGATCTCATCAAAGAAACGTTCGGAGCGTTTGCACGGTGAAAGAGGAACATGCATAGTCCACTCACCTGTTTACGAAGCGGCGTGGAGCACTCGTCTTTGGTTCTCTCGAAGCGCTCGAATTTGAAGCTGTTGCTCCTGTAGAGTTCGTTGTCGCTCTGCTGCCTCCTGCACAACCGTCGGGTGAGCGCTCGTGGTTTACAGGGTGCACACTCGGTCGCCAGACCCCAGTGAAGGTGAAGCATCGCGAGTTCCGCGGTACACCTGGCCATGGCACAACCGGCACGCCTTACGCGACACTTAACGCGTTTTATTCGTCCTTCGTGTTGCGGTTTGTGGCTGCACGGTTGCGAGCCACTACCGCTGCAATCGCAGCTACGACGCGATCGCCGTTGTCGGACCGTGTGCGAACAAGGCTTAACCTCCTCGCCGCACTCGCACTCGCGCGAACCATCCCCGGCGACCGTATGGGTACAGTTTATTCTTTCGACGCACTCGCACTGCTGCTGTTGTTGTTGCTGCGAAGTGGACTGACTTGCTTGGGAAAAAGTAGGTGAAGAGGAGTGTACTCGATGCCGTGTACCAGCGGGTGCTGTGTGCCGACAAGGTCGTTCCGGACAGTCGCATCTGTATTGGAACAGGCATGTTATTAAGCACTGAAGGCACTCGAGGATTTAGATGAATGGATTGAAGAAGAGAGGGAATGTGTACTTGAATCGAAGGTGGATGTAACACGTGCACACGTTATTATATGATCTTGTAACGTTAGCCCTAATTTTCTCTAACCCTTTGACTACGGCGGACTTTGAAACGTACCAGCTGTACGATACGATGTAAATACAATGGAATTCAGTCGCACCCTATACCGAGAACAGCGAGATTTTTCGTTAGGCGCGCATTTTTGAGAAGGTAGATTGAAATAACCAAAACACTGAATTCCACTGCATTAAATCAATATAAGAGTTTAAACTGGTTTAAGCGTCTATAGGTGCCTACAGTATCATAAGAGCAATTTTTTAAAAACGCCAACAAGAGTCAAAGGGTTAACAACGTTCAACCCGGCGTGGGCCACCGGTGACCCTCAAGCTGTGCTTTTATCTGACGACGTGGACCACCACTAATTTTCATATCAGACAGTGTGGAAACAGCTGATTCATCCTGCAGAATATGAAAAGGTGCGCCGAGTTGTACGTGTTAAAAATTGAAATATTACAGAAGAATGTAATATGAATTATTAAACGAAAATAAATAAATAAATTGAATATGATCTACAGCAACTAAAAATAGACATTGATTACCCAATAACCAATAGCACGAATCGTGTAATTGAAAAGGAAAAAAGATTCTTGAATACCATTGAAATTACAGTAACAAAGTAAGAAGTAAAAAATTGAAGAAATTAAACGGCAGAATTAATCGAGCGTGTCCTTAACAATTCGTATTTCAATGTGAAACTTCGTCGAGATGCTCGACTGAATGTACTCGACCGCGGAGAGCCAGGGGTTGTTTATGGTTGGCTCCATGAAGCGAGTGTCATTGACATGGTGACCTACACATCGGAAATTTACGAGGTCCATTCAAACGATCGTAGCTAACTGTACTCGAGGTCAACTAAACCGAAACTTTTCCAATATAGTAAAATCCCTATTTCAACGAATTCTTTTGAATCCAACCGGCCTCTAATTTGTCTCATACGTCTTCAGATGAATTCTATCGAGATACTAGACCACTCCTTCAATGTTCAGGTTATATTATACCAAGATGTATTGTATCCTATGGTAACTTGTTACACGACAATGCTCTCTGTCATGACCAGTAGTCTCTAACAATAAGTTGTTTCATCCTAGCCTAGATAAGTCCCACCCAAATGCTATTGGCTGTTCCTGTATAATCAGAAATCTGTTGTGTCGGATCCTGCTGATAGTTTAGCTAAATCTAATTGAGTCTGTTGTTTTGTTCTATTGAGTTTAAACGTACAGAACAAAGGTACTAAATCTGATAGGACAATAGTACCCTTCAATCTACGAACAGATGTAACGATATTTCATACGATCTAAGATTAGAAGAAATAATAACAGCTGCTCAGTGAAAGCTGTAGCGTTCTTTAAACTGTTCGAAATTCTTGCAGCATGATTTAAGAGTGTAACTTTCAGGAATAAGGGGGAAAAAATGCAATAACTCGTGTTCGCGTTCCTGTGCAATGTACACAAACATCCATAACGCTTAAGACGTTAACGACAGAATAAAACACGAAATGAGCAAAAAGCAACGATATTGTTATACCTTGCTATTTCTCATTATTTTCGATGGACAAAACAGCGTGCAATAATATGAAAAAGTCAAATTGTAACTGCCAAAAAATGTGTAAAAACACAATAGTATCGGAACTCAAGTTCCCTTTGCAATGATACATTAGTAACAGTTATTTTTCTGAAGGATAAAAATGATATTAATATATATTTTTCAAATTGCTATTGTATTTGACACACGCAATATTGTTAAAACTTTATTTCCCTTATTTTCTTTTAATTATTCAATAATATTGAATTCGTGACCCCGGTAACCCATATTGCGTATAACGTATTAAATACCACGTTCACGTTTCACCAATTTATGAATTTCGAAAAATATACAGAAAACGTAATATTTTTAATGCATAACGCAGAAACTGTATTACAAGAACCGAAAGCTGTTATTCAGTGCCGGAGTGTGTGGTACTCAATGATACATGATGAAAGCAAGGACAATGTAAACACATTAAACATCCTTGACTTTCGTGTCTGTTCAGAAAATATTCTTCAGCTAATCAATATTTCATACTAGAACTTTTAATGTACAAAAAATTTCATTACCACTCCAATACAAAATGTTCAAAACGAAAGTTCATATTTTCACAAGATTTAGATTATAATAATATTTAAAAATCATAACCTAACTGGGTGTGTCAAAATTGTTTTAATTTACTATGTTTCATATAGTATTACTATTATACATTATTAAAGTAGTATACATTTTCCTATCAGAGCAACCTGTAGAATATGACCATAAGGGGGCAACCATTTATTTCTCTGTCTGGTTCAATCTTCATTCATTAGTAAATAAAGTTACACTTATTTTGCATAATAAAATCTCACGAAAGTATTTCGACCACTCTACCCTATCTTCTACAACATGCAAGTATAATACCCTCGTTAACCTTTCCATCGTTAAGTACACGCATTACCATCCCTCTCCGTCACTCTAGAAAAGGGCGCCAGGTTAACTGTACTAGGGTCGCTTCAAGCTTTGCAAATACGATCAACACGTCGTTACTTTGACCTTCGTCGTTCCTTCCACCCCTTTAACTCATAATGGTTCGTAACGTGTGCATACACTAGGACGATAACAGGGTGAAACTATGACGGCATAGGTAGGATGGAAGATAAGCATTATTCTTTTTTACTCACCTTCGGATTCTTCGTACGGCTGATGCTCGCTGTGCATGCACGCAAGGCTGCGATTCCGGTGGACAGTCACAGTTGCCAACCGTGGGTCGAGTACGACGAACCCTAATCAGTACTGGATGTACAGGACATGGCTGCACCTGACAACTGCACACGATCGTCTGTGGTCCACCACGAGATTTCCGACCACCTCCACGTTTCGCGCGTTGGTCCACGTGCAGCTGACACGGCTGTACAGGGCAACCACAGCGAGCTGTGGCACCGCGACGCCCGGCACCTTGTACGCGTCTCCACACCCGCTCCATTCAACGACCGGCGTGCGACTAACGAATGTACGCCCCACACCACTCGACGCTCTCGATTCTCCTCGACGAACTTCGGCAAACTTCGGCTCCACCCGTCACCCTCCAGCTTTCCGGCAACCTAACCGCCATTCTTGTGTGCCGATTCGAGTTCTTCCAAGTGTTTTTCCAGTTATAATTATCTTCGATATATCTTTAATATATATCAATTATTCGTCTAATACACGTAGAAACGTATTAATCTTGTAGAACTCGTATATATTTCGTGAAAGTGAACCCGTGTGATATTACTAATTGTTTCGAAAGTGCTACATGAGATGAACTGTTCATTCAAATATCTTATTTTGAGGTAAATATGTTTTATCAATCTATACTTACCTATTCAGCGGGCAGCTATTGTGCTTCTTCGATTAATATCATTCATAATTATATCTATTATTCTTATTGTTCAGCAACTGATCGAAGAAATGTGGTAGCGCGCTTTTGAACTACTTCGTACGTTTCCGATGGACTTCGTGGAGGTTCGGCGTTGCATCACCCTGACTACTCGGTAAGTACCATATTCAACTTTCAATTACTTTATTCTGATATAAAAAGCATTTATTATGTATAATAAGAATTTTAACTCTACAATAACAATATTTATAACAATTAAATAACGTGATAGTATACATTAAATTTCCACTAAGTATGTATTATAATACATTCTTTGCTTGCTTATTACAAATACTTATAAAATTATATAAAATGGCTGATAATCTACGGATCAACTGGATCGCGTAGTACTTAACAAAGAAGCAGCAAATATTTGTTGCAATATTCGAGGTATATCCTTGAGGTCCATGCAAACGAATGCTCGTCCCGAAGGCATTCTCTTCGTTAAGCTTGAAATTGAACACACATTTTTTTATCCATGAAAATATTATCTCACAAAAATTAAATGTCATACACATACCTAACAGCCTGATTTCCCAATGATCCAATGAATATGGCAAAGGCATTTACGTTTGGATTTGACGTGAGAATTTTTGCAAAACTCTCAGGTCGAATACCGTAACGATCAAAATTCGCATCCGAAAATACAACAACAATAGACTCGTCAGAATCTTCTTTTGCAAGGCTCGCGATTGCTTGCTGGGTTGCCTGCAAAGTATTGTCACCGGACATGCAAAACTGCGAGTGCGCGTGCATCGTCTGAAAGAAATGACTCCATTTAGGAAGCTAAGTTTCAAGTTTAATTGAAGTAGTTTCTTAACTTCAATTACCTTTATCACTTCCAATCTACGCTTATTATCCGCCGGTGGTTGAGTGTGCTTAACGAAAACGATATCATAGTCATCGCCGGAATGACCAACGATATCATACTGAAATTTCCCTTCGTATCCGCTAAACGCTTCCATTACCATAACACTGGCTTCCATTTCTCGATCGAGGCGTCCATCGTATCCGTTAAACCTATACATACTACCTGATACGTCCACCACTAACTTCAATCGTTTCGGTTTCGTTAATGGAGCACCAGGATCTGGTTCCTTTTCAGCCCTCCTTCGGTAAATCGTTCTTTCTCCCGTTAATCCTTCGATTAATTTTGTGTCATCCAATTCACCAGAAGTTTGGTGCCTGCACCACTGACGCTCTTTACTTTTCGCCTGTAGACTGTCTGTGAAAAGGCATTTAAATTTAAGGAAATTTACCATAATAATAAAAGTACCCTTTAGTTAAAAAATGAACTATCTTCTTAAAGCTTTGAAAGATAATAGATACGTTATTCACCTATTATAGTCCTTAACGCTTTAACCTGCTTTTGAACAGCATTACTGAACTGAGAGTAGAGATTGTGATCATATTCGCTCATATTAATGTCTCTTAAGCGTTGCTGGAACGCTTTACGACCCATTTCCATCGCTGCTTTTTTTATGTGTTCCGGTACAGCATTCTTTTCTTCATCGCTAAGTTGATGCACTGTATGACCTGCATCTAAACGATAAGGTCCACCTTTTCCACCGAGACCTGCCGTGTCTCTTCCTGCAATTTTCATTAAACATTCATATCTCGGAGGATGTTCGTGATCCTAATAGCATACTATACCTCCAGTTCCTCCAGCCCAAGTATTGCCTCCAACATGAGGTGCATTTTGCTGGTCGATTTTACCATGCTTAGGGCTACTAACGTCCAATCCCGAATATCTTTCTTTTGTAATTTGTAGGTTCTCATTATCATCCCCTATCATTCTTCTCCAAGCTCCAAGTGATTTCTCGATACTCGCTAAAGATGCCTCCCAAAGGCGCACACATCCACCTGCATCCACGGTTACAAGATCCTGATTTGATTTAGATGATATGTACAAGGGGTAATTGTTTGGATATAACAATTGAGTCGCGTATGATACATTTACTGGTCTGAAAGAGAAACATAAGTAGAATAAATATAAATGAAGATTCTTAAACAGAAATTAGCTTTCAAGAAAATATTATACTCACTCTGGTATAGGTAGATAACGCATCTTATGATTTACAGTATCAACAATTTCTAAATAACCAACGATTCCCAAATGCTTCCCAGTCTTAGGGAGAACATCATCAGGAACTTCCTCAGGTATAACTGCTCGAATAATCTGTCCATTTTCCATAACAATAGGAGATGTGAAACTTCTACTTCGGTGTGGTCTAGGCCAAAAGTGAAGTTCGTTAAAGCTATCCAAATCAGGAAATCCGACAGCAATAGTTGCATATGTATTATCATTCGCTAATAATCTGTTAGGAGATTCTATCTTCTGTTCCAACGCTGCGCTAAGCACATTACTGCTCAAATTAGTATTGCTGCAACTCAAGAATGCACCAACTTTCACGTTATCCTTGCTAATCTCTTCTAATTCCTGTAGAACATTCGGACAGGGAGACGAATCTGCTGATCTTTTTAGAATATATTTGTTCCTTCGCGTGTCTTGAATCAACCACTTCTTTTCAGATGGAAGTACAATCGATTCTATGTCAAACGGTAGATTAATCGAGTAAGAACACATGGAATGTAAATCGATTACTTCTATCCTCTTAGAATTAGGTGTGTAGAAAACGATTTGATTATGAGATTGAATTAAATCTGTTTTCATCTTCCATCGAAGATTGTTAGTTCGAAAAGCGTTTGATAATTTATCTGAAGCCATGTCGAGGAAGGACAATAATTCTATTTTTTGAACAGTTCTGTTAATGGTATTCACCAATAGTAAAGTATTACTCTGAAAGTAATTATCTCTTAGGAAAAACATGAATAAAAAATGTTAATTTCTTAGAAAATCTACTTACAATCTCTTCATGTATTAAAACGTTTTGATTATTATCGCTTGCCATTGTGTAGAAAGGTTTGTTATGTCTTTCATAGCTTATTAAGCTCGGCAACAAAGTTTCCTGAATCGTATCTGATTCCAGGCTCATAGTGAAGATCTTTAAAGGATTCTCCGCAAGAATATTAATTTTATCATCTTTGCCATCGTCTCTCGTACCTTTAACTATCGTCAAAGCCGCAACCACACCAGAGTTACCAAGCGGTACAGTCCAATAACTTTGTAATTCGGTGAATAATGCCGATCGAGCTTCGACGAGATCTAAGGGCAAAGTGTTTTGTCTCAATTTGATCGACGATTTAAGCTTAATATATTTTTCCTGAACACGTAACAGTTGTTGTTGATTCGAAACATTCCAGGTAGCGCAAATCTTGTTCGACGGTAAAGATATTCTGCAAAGGAAAAGGACAGGAAATGTAATTAGACATTGTACTCCTTTCAAATTTTATTCTTTGAAAAATAAAAATATATAAAAATTAATTATGATTCTAACAAAATTTCTCTAATAGAGTATCTTACTCTTTTGCTAAGGCAATATTAGTAGGACTGGTTCCAATAGGGATTCCATGTTTATGCAAAATAGACACTAAGGTGTTAAAAGTTTCTTCGCTATACCGATCAAAATCAAATACGTTTCGCACCACGTTAGCTAACGATTCCTGAGGAAATTTCTGAAAACACATAAAATTATATATGTATATTAATCTGAGATTAAATGTAAAATCGTGCAAACTTACCTCTAAATGTTTCACTATATTAACAACTTCTCGAGTTGAATAGGGATACGAAACTAAACCTTGATCAGCCATGTTTCTAAGCTCTCCAAAAGCTTTTACTAATTTCAATATTATTTCTCTATCTACGTTTGGACCATACTGTTTCAAAAGTTGTATTTCATTTTCAACAGTTGGATTATCAACAGCATGGGTGCTGAACAGATCACCCAGTGCTCCAAAGAAATCATGTCCCAAAAATGGAAAGCCAGGTCTGTTAGCTAGTACTATCATTCTGAAATCAGGATGAAGTGCTATTGTATTTGGGTCCTGTGTATCAGAACTCGAAGATACTATGCGCCTTCCATCTGATAGTATCATTTCCCCAGATTCGACTAACGTCTGAAAAACAAACAGAAAGATTGTTAAGTTTGATCATTGAACTCTCATCACGAATAAACGAGATACATACTTTTAAAATGCAAGTAACATGAGTTGGAGCTTTGTCTGCTTCATCAATAACAAGGACATGTCCCAATTTAACAGCCTGTACAAGTGGCGAATCTTCATACATCACTTTTCCATCTCTAACCATTGGTTGGAGGGTCAAAGTTTGAACAGTCGTGTCCCTGTGTAGCTGAATATACTCTCGTGGTTTGTTCAACAATTGCAACAGTCTGTCGACAATTTTATTCTTCCCTACACCCTGATTACCGACTAGCAACAGATGTTGTCCTAAGCTAAAGTCTTGCAATAAATTCTCTAAAAGTGCCACGTGCTGAGGCACGTCATAGAACAATACATCAGGTACTTTAGTTAAAGCTGCCGTCTTGTATCTTTCAACGACCGTGTTACCAATTTTCACCGTGTCTCCCGTGATTGTGCACTTGATATTCGTGTTGGGTACTGTTTTTGTTGAAACGATACCCACGTGAGCACAAGAATCTTGGAGCGCTTGTTTCGCAACCGCCGGCAAGAAACGAGCCAAACAAGCTCGTTGCACCGCGCTATAAGCATCGTCAGTTTGGAATTTGTGCATTCTTCCTGCTATCCTCAGAAGTTGTCTTGTACTGAGGAAGCCAGATAGAGACTGCAGAGTCGGATCGTTAGAGGATCGTAACACGTGTGCCAATTCTAAGATGTTCTGTAACGCTGTTGAAGGTTCTCCGTACTAGAATTGCAATTATTATGCAAAATAGGTTCTCTTGAAAGTAAATTAGTATTAAATAATAAAGCAATAAAGTAGCACCTTCGATCGAATGATATGAAGCTCCTCCGATTTGGTAAGCGGTCTCATCTCATGGAAAAGGAACAAACTGAGTAGTTCAGAGTTCAACCATTGCCTCGAAGAGGTATTAATCACGGGCGATTCTGCTAAAGCCATAATCCTGAAGGATGGATGAATACGTAATACTCCAGAATCTTGCAAGTTCTCATCTGACCTGTTGTACTTCTCTTTTATCTCGTCGTAACGATCTGCACTGATCAATCTCTTTCCATCGTGCAACTGTAATTCTCGGTCGTGAACCAATCTACAAACGAATAAATGATATTTTCAATGTCTTCTTTTTTTTTTTTTAAACTCTTCAATACAATGTACCTATGCAATATAGCCAGAGTACTAGGATCTATTCTATTAATTCCGTCCAGTACAGCCAGTTTCCCTTGCAATGCTGCATCGACCAATGGTGAATTTTTCCAAACAGTATCGCCATTAGATAATGTGGTTCGTTGTTGTATCAAATCCCTGGAAGTCATATCCTAACAAGATATTTCAGTTGTTTTAAATTGTTACCAACACTAACTCGATTTAATAATATTCTAATTACGTAACACCTGCCTGATACAATACTACTGGTTCCACTTGATATCCCATTAAATTGGCTAATGTTTGGACAGTTATTGATTTGCCACAACCCTTTGGACCAATTAGACAAAGATCAGATACGATATGCGATTCCAACATGCTTACCAATAAATTATTCTGATAATTCGTCTTTACGTATTTAATTTTATTGGTACTTTCGTTTGTCCGTTTAGTACCGCAAGAAACCTGTCGATCAAATATAAATACGATTGTCATCTCAGTTTTATGTTTGTTTTTTTTTTTTTATTATTGTTACTCACAGTTAACACTGTTTCTTCGTTAGCATACTTAATACCGACGTTAATTGAATTTTTATCTTCAATTTTATTTTTTACACTTATTTCTTTCGAAACTTGTGCTCCATTCAGAACGTGAAAAGTTTCGAGTATATTTTCGACGGCACTTCGACCCTCCTTCCCCAGAAACAATTTATAGGGATAACATCTGTAAAATATATCGAACACCGGCAGATATGGACACTGATCCTGTGATAACACGTGGATTAACATAAAGTCCATCAAGCAAATCGGTGGTTAAGATGAGAAAATGTTTACCATGATAATAGCAGCCGACGAAAGAGTATCCAGGGGAAAATCTGGAAGACCTAAGGATATAGCTTCTTGTGTAACGAAAGCGTGCGCGCATGATAATAGTTGCCTTAATTTCGCGGTGTCCGTGTGTCTAACAAGGCTCGTTAAAGTGTTCAATTGTTCCTAAAAATTGAAACAATTCACTTCGTATTTCCAATCTTTTATAAATACATAAATATTATAAATGATTTCACAGTAATAATAATTATAGTTATTAATTTATTGATAATTCAGGCCTAATTGTAGATTTTCTTTGCTATATCCATTTTTTTAACAAAAGGTAGCAAAATATTTTCGTTTAAAATATTCTTTTATCGGTAATATAATAATTTTAGAAAATTGCTTTAAAAACAGTGGACGTTTTTGCATACTCCCAGTATATCAGTTTAATTTTCGAAGATAATAATACAGAATCCTTGTACCTCCTATGTAACAACGTTCAAAGTTATGGTTACATTATTTCCACAAAGATATCTAAACTGTTTCCGTTTGTCCGAAAGCTACATATATCGCATAATTGTGAACAATTCCGTGTACGGAATGTTACACTACAATTCGTTTGAAACAGTCCAACCGAGTGATTAGCACCAAGAGAGCTTTCCACCGCATGCCAACTACGAGAATAACTACCAGTCGGCACGAAATCCTCGAGATAGCTTACAGATTTCCATCGAAAACTTTCAATTGAGCCACATTCCCAAACCAATCGACGCGATTATCACGGCTTCCGCGAAAATACGATTCCCTTAACGGTATCCTGAAATAGATCCGCGAAAACGAAAGAGTTTCATGGAAATTGACTCAATTTCAGTCGAACAATATAAATTATTGAATAAATATATTTAGGAACTTTAAAATATACCATAGATTAATTGTAGGTTAATGAACTCTAGGAAAGTTCGTTCTCAATATAATAGTATTGAAGATGCAAGTAGTATTGATCAATAATAGGGTATCCATTCTACACTCCTCAATTACCAATAGACTGAACTTATATTCAAATTTTTAAATAATAAAATAATAATAGTTTATCAGAATATTCAACTCAATTAATTTTGGGAAAGTCCATTCTTACTTAGTATTATTGGAAAAATAATAAAGTATTCATTTTACACTCCTCAATTTTTAATTGATATACTAAATTTAAATTCAGATTTTTAAATAATAAAGTAAAGTAATAGTTTATCATAGTATATAAGTAAATTAATTTTGGGAAAGTTCATTCTTAGTATTTTTGGAAAAATAAGTAGTACAAGTCAATAATACGGTATCCATTCTACACTCTTCAATTACTAATGAACTAAATGTATATACAAATTTTTAAACAATAAAGTAATAATAGTTTATCATAACATGTAAGTCAATTAATTTTGGAGAAGTCAATTCTTAATATTATTGAAAAGATAAGTAGTACAGATTAATAATAAGGTATCCATCCTACAGTTCCTAATTACCAATTGGCATGCCGAGCTGAATGTCAGTTATTCCACAATATATTTATAAACGTACAAAAGTAAAAATATCAAATTACAAATTAAATAGCAGAATATAAGTTAAGACTATTAATTTTTCGGACACAGATTAATCAAGACCTTTTTCTTTGTTTTTCCTTAATGAGCTTCATATTGCGTGCCGTGTTTCGATTTCGCGTTTAATGCCGCTTTTGATGAACTTTTCATACGACAAACGCAATTTTAGAAAACTACTGCAGCGTTAAATAAGAGCAAACTTTCTAACGAGAGTTGTATTTTAAGATAAGATCCACACATTTCGTTCCTAATAACGATACATACCTCAGAGTGACAAACTTTTGCGGAAGTTTATAAAATATATGCTATCAAACAATTATGATACTAATGCTTTGTTTCGAGACTTTGTGTGTGTCTCGGCACGCGACTCACAAAGTTTGATAAAGCATCCAAGTTCAGTGTATTATACCTCTAATTTCCTAAGTCTAATAACGTTACAAAAATCTCTTCTTCCATCATCTAACAATTATAACATTTAATTTTGTTCAAATTTAGTATGGCATCAACGTAGAAATTATTTTTAAACTCATTTTAAATGCTAAACGTTAAAACTGTGTCTATGGATGCATAAAAACGAAGTTTCAACGTGTAAAAGGTATTACTTTGCAAATTGCACCGCGTGACACGAAGTTTTACAACATATTAGGACCTTCGTAGCGCGGTCACGGAAAATTGCTCTAAAGTAGTTTAAACATCCTCCGTGAACCCTTCTAATTATATTTGACTTTTTAAGTAACTCTCGCCACCGTTGTTATTTAACTTTGCCCGACAATTTACGAACATGGCCGGCGTTGTTAAAATGCGTAAAACACGATCGTGACGTCTCGCCCCGGCACCATTCCCCATTACTATTTCACACGAAGAATAATGGCTATCGAATTGACTCTCGATAAAGCGGAATTTATTGGGGGATATTGACTTTCAATGAAAAGCTACGAACGCAGGCGAAACCACTCTACAACACATTTGAATCAGAAATAATCGTAAAAATAATAATAAAAAAAATAAACAATTTCTCGTGCAATAAAATTAAACTAACGATAAGTTGATAAAAATTTAGATATAAATATTTTTCTTTCATTCTGATATAAATACCTTTATGTAGATAAGACAATGTATATCAGTCTGATTTAATACATTTCTATCACTAGAAGCATTTAAGTGGTTGATGACTTCTTAGCAGAAAATAATTCTCTTCAGCATTATGAAAGGCACTATACAATGTTACGTGGATCCGATGTAAATTACAGAATAATTAAAACATTGCATGCAAGTGATACGAAAAATTTAGAATATTATTTTTTTAGTCGTTGATCAATGATTCTTGAGAAGACGTGTGATTCTCCTTGGAATTAATGTTCGGTATCACTACGTGCAGTTTAAAGCGTCCAGGAGGAGACCACATGGTTGATGATTTTTCCTGTGCCTTTGTTTCGTTCTTCGTTTGATCTTGGTACAATTTTAAAGACATCTTTGCATTATCTACCGAGTAGAATAGAGGATCCATCATTGTTTCGTTGTTTTCTCGAAATCTTTCTTTCGTTATCTTTATTTTTGGCAAGCGGTTCTCCAACACCCTGTTCTCATCTCTCAAATGACGCTGTTTATGCAATTTATAATTTTTCATCGATATTCGTTCCTTTTCCTCGGGACATTCGCGTTTCAAGCGTGGAAATCTCTTCTTAGCCGGGCTCCATTTTCGTTCCTCTTCCCGAGGCGATCTTCCGACGAAATCCTCCTCGTAGTCGTAGCTTTGCGCCCTTCCGGATAAATCCAGCCACTGGAGAACCCTCTCGAACAATGGATTCCAAAAGGTATCGGATGTCCCCTCTGTCTGTTTGCATTCCGTTGTGTTCGCTTTAGAATTTATCTCTGACGTTCTTTCGTAACTTTCCTGTTTAAAAGCCGATCTAGCGGTGAAAGGATCCGCATCTTCTTCGGATGTCTTTTCAATTCTTCTATTTATACTCAAGGGAGATTCTAACGTACTAATGTCAGCGGTACCGATAGACATTCTAGGACAAGGAGGTGCGGATAGTTTGCGATACACCTGAGGAGGTTTATTCTCTGAAAGATTGTTACCGGCAACCATTCGTAAATTCGTGAAACAACTATTCAAACGTTCTAGTCTCGATTCCAATTGTTGATATTCCGTCGAGTAATTTTTATTCCTTGACACACGGGAACGTCGACGTAACTTGGGATTAATCAATGGATCGTCGGGCGACAGAATCGCGTGTCGAATACCGTCTACCCAGACAGTGCGAACAGATATTGGTCTTTCAGAGGATGACCATATAGCTGGCATTGTTCTATGTTCTTAGAAACTTTTAAATACGGAATAGCATATCGTAGTTTTCAGCGCTGAATTTCTTGTTCGAATGAATTCCAAGGTATTGACTGTCGACTACGAACAGAGGACAGAGTTCCATCCACTGTTCTGAGGACACGCGATCCAAACGGCGATGACTGTGACCATAGCGCAGCTACGAACAGTTTATATACGAAAGGAACTAGCATCGGGAGGGATGGCTGACTGGAGGGGTTTCTACGACCTCCGCAACCCGTGTCTAACGATACGTCACTACATAAATCAGGTAAAACTTTGGCGAATACCACGCGCCACGGTCTCCTCCGAGCCACGCTAGTAATTATAGATCGTTGTCACATGAAACTTCAAATTGCTAGTAAGTAATCGTATACGTATCAGATCTCTCTTATTAAAAAGTAGTAATACGCTTGCTAACGCTATTACACAATACTTTTCAATTGTCTTTTAAATACATATCGGATTTATTATTTGCTAATAATATTAGTATAAATAGAAATTTTTATGGTAATTATTTAGAAGTTGGTCCTCCTCACCGATTTTCGTGACCTTGAAATATGTTGTCAAGGTCATCATTCTGAACAACTTTTCCCTATACATGTTACCGCCGCTCGGCCTTAGTTTCCGAGATATTTGCAAAAATCTTTGGTAATTAGTTAGAAGTTTGCCCTCCTCACCGATTTTCGTGACCTTGAAATATGTTGTCAAGGTCATCATTCTGAACAACTTTTTCCTATACATATGACCGCCGCTCGGCCTTAGTTTCTGAGATATTTGCAAAAATCTTTAGTTAAACTTAGATTACGAGTACACTGTATTCCGGGAAAAATGGAGACTGAATGGTGATTGAAAGAGTGAGTTTTGTTTTTGATTTTTTCACATTATAATTACTCTTTCTTTCACTTTTTATATATTGTATACCTATTATTCATTTTATGTTTTGTCAGAAATCGGAAACATTTCGCCCATCATGTCGAAAAATGCCATTATACGCTCATTAACATCATGTTGACGTCGGAATAAAAACTCAGCTATATATCCCACGTAATGAGGCGTACGAGTTCCATAACCCTAACCCTAACGCTCTAAACCTAAACCTAACCTAAACCTAACCTAACCTAACCTAACCTAAACCTAACCTAACCTAACCTAACTAAGGCAGAGCGGCGGTAACATGTATAGGGAAAAGTTGTTCAGAATGATGACCTTGACAACATATTTCAAGGTCACGAAAATCGGTGAGGAGGACCAACTTCTAAATAATTACCATTTTTATTTTTAAAGATTATATAAAGAAACAGAAGTGATGTTATTCTTATTAACATAAGAATATTAATATTATATATTCCCATATTTTAATGTAATTAACTTTTTAGTCATTTTTGTTGAACTTATTTTTTAAATATATGTACTTACTTCAAAACTTGGAGGTGAAATATGCCTAGCCTGAAACCTAGATCTAAAAGGTGGATCAAGTGGATGTCCAGGATATCTTGGTGATGGCAAACCTAATGCAATTACTCTAAAATCTTCACTAACTCTAACAAGTCTCCAAGTATCTAATTCTTTCTGGCTGTGTGTCTGAAAAATAATTAATATATCAAAAACTGCATAGAATATAAAGTAAATGACTGATATGAAGTATCCATATATGTATACATTCATACCTCAAGTAATTTATCATAGCGTGCTGCAGGAATAAGAAACCTTCCATCTTCTAAATGCATTTCACGATTTTCTAATAAGTTATTCAAAACAGGTAGCACATTTCTTTCAGCCTTCTCAACACCTTCAATAATGAGAACTCTTCCATTTGTCGCTGCCCTCACAGCACTTTGGTCATGATAATAGGCAGTACCACTTCTAATTTCTCTTCTTTGTTTTAAATCTGCTTCAGTTGTATCCCTTGAAAGTGCAATGAATTCTAATTCACGTTCTGTGAGTTCAAGAAAAGCAAGAGCTAATTTTCTACGCCTTGTGCCTGGTCCTCCAATTAAAAATATATCTTGAGATAGAATATCCTTTTGGAGCATCCATTTTAAATGTTTTAACGTAGATGCATCTTCCTCCTGAGCCTTAAGTACTGTTTACAATAACATATTAACATTACATGATGTTCTTATATTAAAATAATAAAACTATAGAGAAGAAATCATATAGACTTACAATATTTCCTAGGCACATATTCAGGATTTTTTGGTGATTTCACTTCTTTTGAAACGTTACCAATAGTAACAATAGCATTATCTGTAATGAAAATATGATCATTCTTTGCAATTCTTTTCATGTCATTTGGTAATTATCGATCGTCATTTAACTTACCTGATTTATATCGTATAAACAGTTGAAGGTTAGAACGAAACACTTTGGATTTCGTTAAAACTTGAGATGCAGTTGACATACGATGAAAGTTGCAATTAACGTGTAACATTTTATATTAACTGAATTTTCTTTGCAAATCTTAACAAATTGTTTAAAATCCTGTGAAATAGAAATTTTATTTAAAAACGTATATCTGTATTAAGTACTTTAACAGAATACTGTTTATTGTGTTTGATTAAAGGTTAATTATTGGGATCATAGTTCAGAATTACTTAACATAAATCAAAGAAAGGTATTTCACAATATGTAATTAATACCTTTACTGTTGCAAAATACATTTAAAGGAAATAAATAACCTAAATGTGAATACAATACTAATTCAAGGTTAATTGCATCAACAAAATAGCAACTAATCAACATACAAAATTGAGACTTATAGACTTATATAACTTTCTTTATTATCACACTGAAAAGTATTACAATGATTCTAAAGACTATGTTAACATATACACATATGTTATTGCTGCCTAAATGGTTTGGATATAAATTAAATTATATAAGAAATAAACAGTCTTTCTGTGATGTAATGTTTCTAAAATACTTAAAACAAACTTTGTACTTAATGATAAACACTTGTAAGCATTAAGTTTAAAAAAAAATATTTCTTACTTAAAATACGCATAGATTAATTCATTTAAATAGCTGCTCATAATGTTTTACATCACATTTTATAAATCTTAAAATATTATACCCATAATAATAATGTTAAAAATATTAAACTGCACTCCATTTTTTTCATTAAATTTATGTCATCCATTTGCTCACAAAGAAGTGTTTCTTTGAAGTGCAATTATTCTGTATAGTAAATCATAATATTAAGTACTTTATGCACAGTATAAAATGTAAATAAATTACTTAAGATTAATATCTATACAGTATATCACATTTTTTAAAAGGTACAAAGATCTACTTTGATTCCTACATGTTCATTCTATGCTATTTAGGCAGTAGTGAAAATGTGAAGCAATGTTAGCAAAAGGGCACCTTTGTAAGAAACTAGATCTCATGATAAGTCATAAAGTGACATGTTTGGTTATCTAACGTTATTCGACGTTACTAATATTCAATTAGTAAACGGTAAATAAGAGATGTGTATAAGAGATACATAGCGCGATTAAACAAAATACCTCTTCCTTAAAGACATAAAAGCAAATAAAAAAAAAATTATTCATTTCTGAGTTTTGGTTAATACTGAGAAAACATCTGAATGTAACAATATACATATGTACGTCCTACGATCAGTGGTAATTCGTTTCTTTTACCCTGTCGATTTCAAAAGCGAGCTATTTAACTGTTATAAAGTTTACGTAAATTACGGGAATATTATTGCAATTTGCGCAATAAATTACACATAGGAACCAAGAAAATAAAATTTCTCATTAATTGTACTTAATAAAATATTCCTCTTCCGATCAAACTTAAAAATTTCTCTAAAACAGGAGAACAAATGTACATTAATATATCGACATAAACATTAAACAAATGTAATAATAGCATTAATTTACATTACGAAATTGAAAAGTTACCTCTACAAAATCATCCGTTCGTCTAGCATTGGCAGGATAATAATCAACAATTAAAGGACGGGGTCTTTGACCGATACCAGACGGCTGTTGTAGTCCACACGCTTGTTCTTCATTAGTAATTACATTTACTAAAGTACTCACTACCTTTTCATCTAATTGTGACATAGCTTTGTTTGGCGTTTTCATACGTCTTAAGAATAATGCATTCCATTTTTGTCTTAAATGTAAAAAGAATCGAGCAGTCTCGGGATCAAGTTTAAACACTACCCAATCATCAAGTTTGAAAATCGTTCCTTCATTATTCTCATCAGCTTCAGAATCTGACTCACTTTCTGGTACAGCTGTAATTTTCAAATAACAATGCTAAACAATCGAAATATTACTATAAGACATTAAGTGATACAATAGTACTTACATTCAGCTTCGTAGATTACATCTACCGATAATCTTGCTGGTCCACAAAATAATGCCACTGTTAACGGATTAACCAATGTAGCCATTCTAACGTGACAGAATCGTCCTGTGCGACTCATTTCCTCATAAAGTAACCAATCACATGGTAAACTTTCTACATTAGTTGCATGTGTTTGAGCAGATGTCATTCTTGGAGATTTCGGATAATCTCTTAAAGTTGATGATGGATGGAAAAATACTTTCACTTCTTTTCTGTAATAATTGTTAAATGATGAAAAGATCCATTACATAAAAAGTGTAAGGTAGAAAATGGAATAAAATAATTACATACTGTGTTCTTAATTGCAAATGCTCTCTGTCTACTCTTATAAGGTTTGGATATAAACCAGCAGTCAGGGCAGCTTTTACAACAGCCCAATTTTCAGAATTAGAATTCAAATCTCTAATATCTCCTGGTCCCCTTGCCCTAACAAATCCTGATGCACGAAGCTGGCCAAGAAGTTGAGTGCGCATCCCAACCACCATTTCCATCACGGCAGCAGAAATAAAATTTTGTTCACAAAACGCACGTTCTTTGCCACTTGCACGTGCATTTTGCCAACCTTGGAAAGCACGTAAAACTGCCATATGATCGGAATACGTATTGGTTGCGAATCGTTTACGAGCTGCTGTTGCAGCTCTTTTTTGCGACGGTTGTGAAGGTAAAACAAAAGGATCCCTGAAATTTATCGCTTAACATTATTCTCTTTTACGGCACAAGTTTCAAAATTTATGAAATATTACTTACTTGTATGCCAGACTACATACAATGGTTAAAACTGGGTCTAAACATTTCAAAACAACAGCATACAGTAACATTTTTCCCAGTCGTGGTTCAATTGGTAAATCAAGTAAATGACTTCCTAATTCGGTGAGATCTTCCCATGGGTCTAATGCATCGATAGTTTTTAATAATTGTACCGCGTTTCTTGTTACCATATTAGAAGGTGGTTCTATAGCACGATCTAAATATTCCGCAATGGGTGTATTCCCCGGGGCTAAATGTTTTGTATATAGACATAATTCTTGCAATGGTAATCGTAAAATTTCTGGGGTTTGATAGGGCTGCATACTGTTGTACCGAACTGAAGAGAACAGACGATAGCAAATGCCTTTCCTACATCTTCCTGCTCTACCTTTACGTTGTTTTGCACAAGCTTGGGAGATCCAGTTGGACTTAAGTGTGCATACTCCTGATATAGCATCAAAAGATTTTTCTTTAACTTTTCCCGAATCGATAACATACACAACATCATCAATCGTTATACTTGTCTCAGCGATGTTGGTTGAAAGAATAATTTTTCTGGTTCCCATAGGGCTTGGTTTAAATACTTTCTTCTGATCACATGTTTGCATGTTTGAATGAAGTATGTATAAAACGTAGCGTAAACCCTGATTCATTTCTTTTTCTTCATTATTTATTTTTTCCCTCATAGTTACAATATCATCATATCCTGGCAGAAATATTAATAGAGAACCAAGAGGCATTTTTAAATGAATATGCATAATTAATTGTAAGAGAAGATCATAATTAATATTGTCATCATTAAATGTATGATGATACACGTCTAATAAAAGTTTGTCTTCTTCCGAAAGTGAAACATCTTTAGCATGCGTTATTGTATCATCTTGTACTGTACAATCGTAAGTTTTCATATATGCTTCTATTAATTCAGCACACTCGGTCTGATTCATATTTCTTGCCCAATCTAAGGCAGTCCATTCATTGCCCGCTCGTAAATTTAAATTTGCTCCAAGATTTAAAAGTTGTTCTGTAGTATTGATACATCCTCTACCTGCAGCCACCATAAGCGGCGTTACGGACGTTGTGGAATGTTGATAATCTACAGAAACGTTTTCAGAAAGTATGAAATATAAAAGCTGTGCAAAGTTATCTTCACCACCACGCAACCATGCCTCAGAAATACTTTTATCCATTTCTTCTATTAACCAAGGTTCTAATTTGATCTTCTCTGGAAGTGGTTCATTTTGTTGTGCTAAGATTGGAGCGGGCAACAAACATCTTTCGTTCCCAGTATGGGATCCTAATTGTTGAGGCTTATATTGAGTCCAACTTTCTAAAAGTTTACGTTGATCTTTCTTATTCAAAAGCTCCTTTCTCTTTGAAAGCATTTCTTTCGTCATATAACCAGTTATTTTTAAAACATCTTCGAGAAAATACGTATCAACATCGTACGATCTACCCAAAACATTTATAACTGCACATTTGCTAAAATACTTTACAAAAACACTGACATCCAATGTAGCACTCATAAGTATAAGCTTGAGGGACTTGTGTTTCTGCAGTGCATCTTTCAGTGCTATTAGAAGAAAGTCACAAAATCTATCGCGTTCGTGAATTTCATCTACAATAACGTGCGTAACGGTACTTAAAGCAGAATCACCCGCCATAAGAGTTCTAAGCAATACACCGTTCGTGCAGTATGTTAAAAGAGTTTTTGGAGCAACTCTACTTTCAAGTCTTATTTGATAGCCAAATGTTTGACCAATTTTTTCATCTCTTTCAAATGCCACTCTCTCAGCTACAGAAACAGCTGACAGTCTTCGTGGTTGAGTACAAATAATTCTACAAAGTTGATGCCTTTGCTGACAGTGTTCAAGAATAAATTGAGGTACTTGGGTAGTTTTACCACTACCCGTTTCACCTCCTATTATAACCACTTGATTAGAATTTAAAGCATTAAGAATGTCTTCTCTAGAGTTAAATATTGGCAGAGCTTTGCGATAGTTTAATACATCGAAATTAGTTTTTAATTGTGGTATTTGTGGTACACTGTTATTTAATCTACCCATTGCTTTAGTGCTTGTACTTACTGAAACTAAAAATACAAAATTATATAAATGATTTTAAATTTTAATAAAGCATGTTCTTTAAGATTATATTCAAAATATTAGTACCTTCTGCATTAAGAGGCCTTTCCCTTTCAATTGGTGGTAATAAATCTTGACATTCTTTATGATTTAATGGAAAAGTCTGCAATAAATTATAAATACTCTGTCTTGATGCCTTCTGTAATTTGATAACAGCATCAGCTTGAACTATGGTTGATCCTTCTCTCTTGTACACTGTTAGAAAGCGATTTGTACCTTTACTATAGAACAAAAAAAATGTATTTTTATTAAGGAAAAATGAACGCATATATCACTATATTGCTTACCCTCTACTTTTGGATTTTAGTCCAAGTTCATGTGATAGTTTATGAATATAAGCTCTTTCCTCTGCTGTATACGAAGAAGGAAATTCTAATTCTTTTTGGTCAGGAGTCTCCAATAACTTCTTTAGAGTTAAATTCACTGCAATTCTAGTGTCTTCTCCAATAAGAGGAGTTTTCTTGTGACGATTTCTACGTGGCATGATGAGTGTTTAAAATATGTTTCTGAAATATACAACAAACATTAGTTTCTAAACCCAAAATTTTGTTTTTTTATTAATTAGGTCTTTATTAGCAAGGTCTAGAATGACCTTGTTAAAGTGAATAAAAGAAGTATACTTAAAAATTAAACAATTCAAAAAAATATCACTGTTTTATAAGCACAATGACTCGTACAGACGATTTTTTATAGAGTTCTGTCTACTAATTAACTGTAAATAAGATTCCATAAAATATGAATACACTTTATGGATAAAAATTAGTGTAAACTTACGTTGTTTGAATGATACTATCAAAGTATCTTCTCAAAAATATCGTATATTAGTAATTAACAATAGACTGATAACGATGCAGATTCTAATAAAGATAAAAGATTATGAAAAGTATGTTTAATAAAAACGAACCACATCTGAACGACAATTCGCAATAAATACAGACGAAAAATATTTACGTCCTTTTCAATTATGCACTCCCTCTATTTGGACGAATAAAACTACATAATGAGAATATTTTCACTTGGTAAAGACCATATTCTTCTGATTCTACAGTCGAGTAGCTAGCTATAGGATAAATCATTCATGCAACTGAAGGTGCACCAGTGTTGTTTTCATTGTAAAGAAAGAACGCTCTACACGAGTTAGTTAAATACAAAAGTCATTTATTTAATTTAAAAAATGCAATTTCATATTATCGTTAGATGATGCGAGCGTCGGAAACTTTATCGACAGACCATAGAAAGATCCCTAGAAACGAGAACACAAATTACGTCGTCATTACTAAAGAGAATGCAAAAACATTTGAGGGACGTGTTCAGAAGGTCCTAAAGAATGACATTCTGGTCATGATTTTACCCAAATCATCAAAAAGTTATAAAATATTGATAATAGTGCTTTCGTTCTTCAGGCGTATCGTCGCGATGCCTCTGGCGAGATGAGCGTTTGAATGTGTTTGTAAAAATACTTGAGGCGTTGTTGCCTTCCTGGATCGTGTTACGCGCACGCTAGCTGAGAATTAAACCTTTCAAGTTCGTAACAAAACATGCAAGTGGCTCCACCGGGATACTATCGCTATCTATTGGGAATCAGTTGAAGCCAGTTGTCGACCCTAAGATAGCACCGACGATAATCGTGCCTGTTGTACCAGGGACATGCATTTGTTTTCATGGGGTTGTCTGGGACCCCAAAATTTTGACCCCACGTGATCAAAGGTATGTCTAGTTTTTTGCATTTGCAGTCACTACAAACTAAAATTGATCAATACTTTTTCACCTTTCAAGACCAAACATTCAAGTTTTATCCCTTACAAAAGAACATTTTTTGAAAATATCTCGTGAACTAATCATTTTTTTTTATGTAGAATGAACAGAGGAATCGATTTGTACAACAAAAAATATGCATTTCTGTTTAAAATAATCATGCAATTGTTAATTGCACATGCACTGTTTGCACTTAAAAAGATCTAAGAGCCTACAAATGTAGTGCTCTTCGAGCCATTTATTTTTCTCCTTTAAAATATTTTCGTAAATGCATTAATAACAGAGTTATGACCTGAAACAGTTCCCAAACGAGAAAGTTTTAACTTCTTTCTTCAGGAGGGCCGCGCAACTGTTTAATCAGTTCAATTAGTGACTATAGATCCAACAAGACCGGATATACCTTTTGTGGCTATAGTCACTGTAAAAGCACTACTAGTTCAACTCTGCAACAGTAGATGACAAATGCAGTACATTTTTCAGAGCGGCATGTGATGGGAATTATTCAAAATCGGTAAGACCCACTTTCTTTTTATTTACAGGTATAGATCATTCTACGAACTCTATTAAGTCAAAGAAATTCAAGAACTGCAAGAGTAAGCTAAAGTCGGGTACTTTTATTGATCTTAAATCTATAGATCCCTTAGGACGGTAGGCGTAGGGAATTGTTGATACATCTAAGATCAGTGAAACGAATATAAAATGAGAAGAAGAAGACAAAGTGGATCGAAGGTGGTTGGTTGCGAGGAGTCAGGAGGGCGTCGTGGAACGCCACTGGCCACGTGACCCGCCACCAGAATCCGCGGCGTCCGCCGAAAATCTAAATCCGTCCGAGCCGAGAAGAAGAGGCACCCGCCGGCCTCCGGGACTCGCTGCCCGAGACCACAAACGCGATAGTCAATAATTGCCTTTTCGGTGTACCGGATCGGTGAGACCGCGTGCCACAACCGACTTCACTTGTCGGACTACGTGGACCCGTCCCTCTGGAGCCGGCTTCACAGGAGAGGGTAGCAATTTAGGGTGAAAAGAAAATGATACGAGTCGACGAGTCTGATCCGGTGGGCGGTAAGGAACACCATTTCTCTTCGACAATCGTTGAAAATTGTGTTACACCGTGGCTGTAATTTTTCAGCATTGTTGTCGGCTCGTGTCACGATGCAAGTGAACGAGTTGATCGTGAAAGAAAATGAGGACAGCCGGAAAAGGGGTGTCTCTCGTGTATCTAAATCTGGGTGGTTCTTGTAAATAAAAGAGGTGCAAGGTGTCTGAAAAAGAACTACCGGTTTCGAGGAATTTCTTTTCAATTAGTTATTCTTCTGCTATCGAGTGCAGTGTTTTTCAAGCGTGATTTTTCTTTAAATAAAGTGATTCGTTGGAATTTGGAACGATGAAAGAGCGTCATTCGATGTTTGTTATCTCTGTGAACGATCGAGATTCGTTCGAACGGAGATCGCAGACGTTTTACCAGCTGTCTCGCGGGAAATGGTGAAATGAGGTCGCGGTCGGCGCGAAACGATGCATTTGTTTTAGACACTCATGTCGAATTCTTTCAATGAAAATCATGAAACATCTCGTTTTCAATTTGATTAAATATACGAAGATTGTCGAAGCTGGACCACGCGATTAAACTACAAAAATTGCTAAATTTATACACGAGACAATTCGATATATCTGCACGGCTTCCTGAATGTCAGAATTCATGAGTTGGCGAAGTTCCCTTGTAACCGAGTATCATCAAAAAATAGACGATTAACGTGCCGTTTGATATCACATGCAAACAATCCACGTCATTCGAAACACGTTGACTGACAACGAGAAATGGCATTTTTCAATAATCAGCCAAGTTTCCTGAACAGACACACCGGTTACTGGAATTCGTTATCTATAAAAGAACTCGAGTCGAATTTCAGCACGATCAGCTCCAACCTCAAGTGACAAAGATCTGAAAATTCACATGTCACAATGCGACTTTATTACCAACCTACTTTTACCATTTCTCATCCTTCGAGTGTTCGCTACAATTTTAGATATTTTTCAGAAATCGAACCGAGCTTTCCCTATCGGGATGTGACGGTACGTCGAGGCGTGGAATTTAAGGATTATTATGATATCCAATCGGAAATAGGAAGGTGAGTGATTATACGAACAAATAAATAATGTAACTTAACTTCTTCTTTCAGTATATTATTGAAATTGTAACGCCGGTCACCTCTAACCCCCCACACCATTCAACCTGTTTATCATAACACCAGTGTATACATCGTATTTCGTATTAACAAATACAATATTACGTGCCAAGGACGTTCGATTGATCCGTCGATCGGTAGCAATCGAAATTGGTTCACCGATTGGCAAGATCTCCGTTGAGGATGTTCGCTACGTCCTCGTGACGGCACGCGAATTTCACGACGTAGCTTTTCGGGGCTGACATTCGCGCAATACGAGTCCACGATGACGTTTATGCGCGTTTCAAAGCGATCATCGTAAATATCACGGCAAGCCGCAGGGCTGGCTATGCTGTTGTTGAGTTTTCATACAATACGCATTGCGCAATTATTATACAAGCAGTCCTGAAACTCTGATATTCGCCCTCGGCAGGTCAGAGAGGAATATTTCAAGGAAATTCTATTTTCCAAACTTGGAAAATTGATATGAAAATGGTCATATGCATTTAACTTTTCGATTTAAACCCCGTGCTGTTGGACACTTTTATTATATTCCTGGCGCTAGTCACCGGTGATTATAAATTATTTTCCGATGAGAACTGAAAGAGATCCAACAAGGAGGAAGGAAAAAATCTGAAACCTTGACGTGTTTATTCCTTCCGGCGAACGTAGTATTCTTGTCTTGTATACATCGTAATCTTTCAGTTACTATGCGTGTCTGCCATTATGAATGAGATTCGAACTTGAATGATCTTCTGGTCGCTTCCACGAGCCAGTAAACCCACGGAATATGATGTTGAAATGTTTGCTCTTCCGAATTGTATGCTTTTCCGATATATTCCCTCGGGGGAATATTGTGCAACGTGTTGATAAACATCTCGAATTTCGAGTGAAAACAATGAAAACCAGTTGCGAGATTCGAATGATAGATTTTTATTTTCAATCGAGATCGAATAGCGATCGTGCATTCGTAGACGCGAAGAAAAGTATTGACGAATGGACCGATGCCAAAGGTAAGATTCGAATGTCAATGACAAACTATTAGTGAACCATCGTTTCTGAATGATCGTTCCTGATCGAAATATATTGAAGATACGCTGGTTGATTGATTCGATGATGCATCAATGATTAAATATTCTTGACCTTTATTTATGAATTAAAATGAAAATAAAATAGTGGAGAGAATTCTTATACTTCTTAAAAATAATTAATTACTTATGAAAATATAGTACAACTTCACGCTTCGTGAGTTCACACTCAAAATGATTTATCGTCTTCATTCGAGCGATTAACATTTACTAATAAGTTAGGAATTTTCATTCATAAGGTGAAGTTCTAATTAAGTTCCTCGAATCATCGACCATTCTCTAATAGCTTACACGGATAATCAATATAAATCACGTTTTCTAATTAATTAAAATTGTTCTCATTCTTTGCCAATCGTGTTATCGAATTGGCTGTTTTCCATCGGCACGATTTCGCTTGAGTAAAACGTGAAAAAAGAGCATTCACTTGACGATAGCCATTTAAACGAATCAAAGTGGCCTGCAGCTTGATAATGACGGAATGCAGCCGGTGTTGCACGTTTCGTCGTGTAATCAAGGTCTTCCCGTGGCTATAAATAATGCGTTTTTCGCAGTGACTGACGTTCGTGCGTCGAGTCGCCGGACGTCGTTCGGACGCCGAGCGTCTCGACGCTCTTGACACGCGGTTTCGATCAAGCATCGATACACACTGCTGGCCGAATCTCTTTTAGAACCCGGCTCTTCAGCACAAATCATTTAACATGTAGTTGCATTTGCAATGGAATTACAAATTCCAAAAATTTCAGACTCTTGTTTAATTGCTATTATTAATTGATAAATGATCAGAACAGATTTATAATGGCGCTAGGGGGGTTTCTGGCAAATGCTCCATTTTAATCATTCTTTTGCCGACCCTGTTGTCTATGGTACGCTCTACTAACTTACTGACTCACTAACTTGGCTTGGTGACAGGCTTGTTATAGATTACACCACTGCGTTCTAACAAGTTGAGGAGGTGGCTGTTACTTCCTCTATTTAATTTTGTGTCACATGTTTTTTCCAATTATGAAATTTCCGTTCATCGAGTCGCGTGATATTCATTTGCGTATATCAGAAAGCTTGACAATGCAATATAATGCAACTGCATTTTATGATGCACTTTGGTTTTTACTTTGCATCACTGACATAATACTCAAGCTGTTCAAAGTTAACTTCTTTTTTCTCTTACTTATAAATTGAAAATTCAGAAAAGAAAGTCAACCATACACGTAGGAAAAAGTAGATACATTTTCCTTTTACATTTATTATTCAATCTTCTTGGCTCAACATGTACGGTCACGTTTTCGATGCTAAAAGAATCCAAATTCTTGGATGGTATTTTGTCTGTTATTTGTATTGCTTGGCACAACGAAAACTGCAATAAATTCAAGGTTTCTGCAGCTGTGTAACGTTTATTGCAATTTTAACGTTAAATAAAACGAGAATTGCCACTCGGGTGAAATTCTGTCGTGCAATTTCTCTTGCCAAAGTTTAACTTCATTTCCTTTGCAATCGCGTCATTATTCTCTAATGTTTTCTTCTTGGTCCTGATAACCTTGACGAATAAAGGTACGTAGCAACCGAAGCGAAGACTCGTGGTGAAACCTGTTTGCAAGCGACATAAATTTTAATACTTTGTAAAATTTAAACTGGATGTACGAAAAAAAAAAAAAAAAATAAAAAGAAAACAGGATGAGTCTATCGTGCGTGTAAGGTCGAGGTTCACGTTCTCGAAACGTTCAAAGGAATATCAATAAGGACATCTCTTTGTACCGCTTCTGTGAGCGTCAAATTATTCATGGAGCATCAAAATTTGCTGCAATGATATTTATTCCACCATTATTTCGGGATGTACAAAAATAATGGATTCAGTTGATCAAACGTTGCTTTGTCAATGCAAATAATCGCTAATGCATTCAAGTTGCTTGAACGTGTTTATGCCTCGCTTAAAAGCGAACAGTGTACATACTCTGTACACGTTTACGATAGGATGAGATTTTACGTTCGAAAATAACGTTCGATTTCTTGTAGCATCGTGCAGGAATTCCAATCCAAATTTATCAATAATTGGCTTATAATAATGCAAAGTTGAATTAGCATCGCAACACAGAAAAAGAAAAATATCTTCCGAGGATGAAAAAAAAAAAACAAGTAACGATAAAAATGTAAAAATAAGTTTGTCAAATATCAAGCATCCACCTGTATAGCATGCACAAATAAATCGCAAATATGTGACATCAGCCATCAAAGTAATTTTCTATCGTTAATAATAAAATATAGAGCGAGGAATTATTTTGGTATGAATAAGCAAACGCAAAACTTTGCACTCGCGTGAGACGGGTTCGTTCCTATTTGCAGAGGAAAATTTGGCACCGTTTATCGATGCAAAGAGAAAGCGAGCGGTTTGATGCTAGCCGCGAAAGTGGTGAACACCTCTAAAAAGGAGGATAGACGATCTGTCGAACGAGAGGTGGAAATTATGAGACGGTTACAACATCCCCGGCTGATTCAACTCTATGATGCCATCGACACAGGGAAACAGATACACGTCATTTTGGAACTGTAAGCTCTTAACACCCTGAAGTAAGAACGTAAAGTCACGATCAAGAGAATTTCCGTTACAAGTAATCTCGTGTTTCAAGGATCGAAGGTGGTGAACTGTTCGAGAGGGTGATAGACGACGACTTTGTACTGACCGAGCGCAGTTGCACCGTTTTTATGAGACAAATCTGCGAGGGTATCGAATTTATTCATCGTCAGAATATTTTGCATCTCGATCTAAAGGTAAATGCTTCGAATGTTTCGTTTTAGAAGGATTTTATTAACGAATATTCTTTACTCGTAGCCGGAGAACATACTGTGCCTGACGAAGGAGGGTAACAGGATTAAAATCATAGACTTCGGTCTCGCGAGGGAGTACGATCCAAAGAAGAAGCTGCAGGTTCTATTTGGCACGCCGGAGTTCGTTGCACCGGAAGTCGTAAATTTCGATCAGATTGGATTCGGTACCGACATGTGGAGTATAGGGGTCATCTGTTACGTACTGTAAGTTTCCTTTTGATTCCGATTAATCTGTCTCCGATTCACTTTGTGCAAACAAAAAACAAATACTAAAAATCATATTCTTTGTTTTTTTTTTTTTTTTTTACATTTAGCAAGGTATATCGTAGTATCGTGCAATAGTTGCAAATGAACTCGCGCGACGTTGCGTATTTCTTTTACAAGATCTTTGCAACTTATAGGAGCGATTGTGAATTTATTTTCAGATTATCCGGGTTGTCTCCGTTCATGGGCGACACGGACATCGAGACAATGGCGAACGTCACGATCGCGAAGTACGACTTCGATCACGACGCTTTTGCCGACATTTCCGATGACGCCAAAGATTTCATTCGCTGTCTGCTAGTCAAAGACAAAGAGTACGTACGGCTTGTTATTTTTCATCGAGGCAGAAGTTAAACGTGGACACTGAACGTAAGAGGCCAGATAACAAAAGTGCAAGAACGTTGCCTGTGAACACAAACTGGTTGCCAAGAGAATTTCTCATTCGGATGATCTTAAGATTCAGCCTACGAAATCGATCGTTTCGTCTCCCAGACTAAATAGTCTGCTGTTCTAAATTATTTGGATTCAAATAGAGCGAATGGCAAACATTCCCAACCACGACGTGTAATCGTCTAGTAACGTGGATCAAATCGGTTCACATGTTTCTTGTACTTTTATTATCTGGATGGTTTTTCGCGTTGTATAACTCTATCGCAAATGTTCTTCGACTTTCTCTCTCTCCCTTTGTGCCTGATTAATCCCCAGCATGTTTTCTTCATTTTCCACAATTTGCTTTTCATCTGAACCAATAATCTCTCGGACAAACAGTAGTACGTACCTACTTAGAGTGGTTACGATGAAAGTATCAAGTTCCAACCGAAAGACTCGCTGTAACTCGTTTCTGCTTTCAATTCTCTAACAATAGAACGAGCACGAGTTCGTAAATTAATGAGAAATCAATTGGTCGAGTTTATACCGAGGGAGAATCGGTTGCGTTCACGAACAGTCTCCTTTGCTGACCTGCTGCCACTCGATTACGATCCATACATGAGCGACGAGCAAGGAAGCGGATCCATCGTTTCATTTTCCGTCTCGAGCCACTTTGCCTTGCACGTTTCCATCTCACCATCCACAAAACCATTTGTTTCCATCGCTGAAAATGCATATCAGGAAAATGAGGGGGAGAGAGAGAGAGAGAGAGAGAGAGAAAAAAAAAAGAACAGAAATTCGAAACGGGATGCTCACGAGGAGGCTGTCGAATCTTTCAGAAAACGAACGTCAGCCGCTCAGTGCAGGGAGCATCGTTGGTTGGCGAAAAAACCGAGCAAGCAGCAGGTCGAGCAAATGGTATCGAAGTCAAAATCAAACGTTCCTCAGCAAATCCACGAGATACCTCGACTGGAGATGAGCAACGCGGAAGAGCTGGACGTGGCCAAGGACAATTTGAGGCTGTTCGTTGAACGCTGGCGAGAACATCCGAACAGTCCCTACATGCTCGATATCCCTCCGTATAACTTTCTGCAGAATTCGACTAAGGATCACGACGATCGGGTATCACTAAAGGGACACAGCCCTTCGCCTTGTGCCAGTATTTGTAGCACTCCCTCGGAAACAACCGACAACTCTCCCCGAGGGAGTTACGGTTCATTTTTGACCGTGCCTGGTTTTGGTTTCGAGAGGAGAGCCTCCGAAGGCATCGCCACGGAGAAGTCTCGAGGGGATCCAGCCAGTCAGATCATCCTCGCCGAAGAAATAATCAAACTGTCCGAACACCTGCGTTCCATAGCCATGGGGACGTGCATCAAGTCTAACGATGAAGATGTCCGATCTCTGGATAGTCAGGAGAAAAAGACAGAGAAACCGGAGGAGAAGAGCGCCAGGAACGGTGTCCACTCGAAGAGCAACGGTTTGATGTCCGCCGAGAACAGCGATTGCAACGAGATCACAGAGAAGCTGACCAGCATAATGCGACACAGGAAGCTCAATGGTACGACCTTCCACAGTAGTAGCCGTAATTTTGAAAAGTATACAGAAACGAACAGTGGTAACATATTCGCCTCGTTAAAAAAACAGAAACAGAACGCTGACGAGAGGAGCTGTTCGAGAAAGGAACAGGATAGAACGTCTGAGGAAACAGCCACCAGCTCCGTCAGGTCGCAATCTGTCCAGGAGAAAGTGGAAGGTACGACGAGGGAGAAGAACGTTCGATTGTCTGCCGATGGTGAGATGGATTTGACGCCACCGTGGAGACGTTCGAGGGTGAAACATTTATTCGGCGAGACCAGTCGGGATGTTCCACGAATCTCTGAGCTTCGTAACCTGCACAAGAGTCTGAATCTCGACGAATCGACCAACACCAAGGATCTGTTGCTTCATTTGCTCGAGGAATGGGACGGTGTCGCGACGAGGTCATCCGGCGTGGGCCGGAAGTCCGTTAGTGTCGATTGGTGCGGCGAAGAATCGGTCGGCAGAAAGACGATGAACTCTCTGGCTGAATATTTTCAAGCGAAACAACAGAAATCGACAGCTTCCAGTGTTAATTCGACTGCACAGAATTCCGTGCATCGTTGAATGGATTCGCTCGATGGTTCGAGGACTATGTTGGATTTGTTGAGACAACGAACATAGTTGTTCAGCATTGTGAAGTTCTCAGGGCAATACGAGACGAAGATGATGGATTCTTTGATATGCATCGTTTGCTTGCTTGGAGCTTGTGAACAGCAATGCTATTTCCGGTTTGAATGCTAATTCAAGAAAGTTCAATTTAAGATTCATTTTTCTTAGTCTCACAAAGAGACTATTCTTTTAATAAAATTTTCTTAATAAATCACAAAAGACAATCTTTTTAATGAAACGGAGTACAAACAGTTAATTAGAAAGCAAGAAAAGAGGAAGCATATCAAATAATTGACGTTGTTAAAGTTCGACTGCGAAGATTGTTTCTATTTATTATGTACGATAAATGTGCATGCGTACACAATATATTATTTATACGAGTTTAAGTTATGCAATAATTATAAGCGAGTGCAATAACGTCCAATTTCACATTTTATCAGGGTGTAACGAGAACGATCATCGTGTTCACACATCTGTGCATATATTCTTGTTTCAATGTCTTATTTATACTATATGTTTAATATAAAAAGTCAGAAAATCCAGCACAATTTTATTTCATAAGCATCTAGAGTAGATAGAATACATTTTCACAAATTGTTTAATAAGCATTTCTTTTAGTAACTATAACACAACTTAACATGCATGAGATTTGTAGTTTTAGAAATTGAAACACCTTGCGTACTTATGATTGATAAATGAAGAAACTACAGAAAATTTGATCCATTATTTTGCTCCAGGAAGAGACCAACCGCGGGTCAACTTTTAGAACACTGCTGGCTGGAAGCGGCTCTGGAGAATCCAATTTCTAAAGTTCGATTAAAGCGGTATGTCATCAAGAAGAGATGGATCAAAGCGGTCAATACCATATTGGCGTTAAAACGAATGGGTGCCCATTTAGATTTCGAGTAGCTTGACATCTTATTCTCAGAACGCTTAGGCTAGACGTTTGTCGACCATGAAAAATAGACAAAAATATTCTGACAATCTTTTTCGACGAGATGTTTGGTCTACGGTAACAGCTTCAAGTACTACTCTTTTTCGAAACATTCGTGTATGTGTAACGTAGAAGCTTGTGAATTTTTTTTTTTTTTTTTTTTTTTTTAATGTATACACATGTATACACTTTGCGCGATCAATTTCATGTGACAGTATTATAAAAACTGATAAATGGATAAAACAATTCCAAAGGCTATTTTGGTTTTTGCTATTTAGAGTAGTTCCGAGTGAAATTCTATTTCGTAACGAACATATAATTTAAGATAGAACGGTACTGATCTACATTTACAATCATTTATTTGTATTAACGTTCTATCTACATTAGTTAATTGCATGGCAGTGCGCGAAGATGGTACATTCGTCTTTTCGCAATTTCGATTATGTTGTGGTGCTTAATAAATAGTAAAAGGTCGACATTGACGCCAACGTGGTGATATACGCACGTTCAAAGTCGAAATTCCTGAAGCGGGATCGCGTATTGTAAATTTACGAGTCTCCCGCATGATAGGAATTCGTATTATGTAAATTCGAGCATGTAACGCACCAGTCGTGCCTTTAAATAAAGTCTTCTACAGTGTCATGCACAACACGAAGCCGCGCGATGTCCTATTATATTAATAGATGTAGATCCACCTGTTGTCTGACGTCGTCTACTGTTCCCAATCGTCGCGGTTGATCTTTCTTTGTCGTACAGGAACAAGGGCATGGGATCACTTGACAACACCCAGCAATTCCTAATTAAAAAAAAAAAAAAAAAAAAAAAACAACAAAATTATCTTTCATTGGTTTACCAAAGAATCTTAAGTAGATTGCTACTAATAACTATGATAGAGTGGAAATAATGAATAATCTGATTAGGTAGTTGTTTGCAAATGTCGTGTATTATCGTAGATGTAGACGCAAATTTCCTGACGTGATCTCCTTTGAAAATCAAGTAACACTGTATACGATTAGCTCTTTTATAATACCTATTTAAATAAATGTAAAAGGTATTTTAATTAAAGTAATCTATTGTATTTCCATCCTGTTTAATATACCTTTCTTTATGGAAAATGCATTATCTTTCGTGGGAAATTGGAGATTGATCATTCCTTTAACTTTTCAAATTTGTTTCCTATTATTCTCTGTAGGTGGCAGCATCATGCGAATCGAAGTCAATTTAGATTCGATTGTTTATAATTGTGATCGTATATCAACATATATCAAACGTTGTTGTTGTAATATTATCTTATTTATTCAAATTGACAATTGAATATAGTTAATAGTTAAAAGTAGAAAGATCAACAATACTCTCTTTCATAATTTGGTAGCAATCATTTGTCCGTATAGATTGTAATTTATTTTTACAAAGATGGTGAGTTAACCTCTTGTAATCAAAACAACATTAATTATTTCTTAAATTTGAATGACAAGTAGTGTTCTTATTGTAAAATACAGTTTATTAAACCATAGTCTTATTTATAGGTACTTAGGTTATATGTTCTAAACTGCTGTGTTCATGTTTCAGACTGATGCTTGGCAGAATTGGAGTCCCTATGCCAAAGAATATGATCCTTTGAAAGCTGGGAGTATTGATGGCACAGATACAGAGCCACATGATAAAGCTATTAGCCATGCAATGGAAGCACATTATGAACCACCTCGTGGATTGAAATCAAAACCAGAAAGAACATTATTTGTGGCTAGATTTGGACCAAAAGTTACCAGACACGATTTGAAGGAGGTATAGTGTTATTGTCTTCGTTACTTTAATAGAACAATGTGCAACTCAAACATTCATGAATTTAGTTCTTCTGTAGGTATGGAGATGTTATATCAGCCAAAGTTATAGTTGATATCGTAACTGGCTTATCTCAAGGTTATGGATTTGTGGAAATGAGAACAGAGGATGAAGCCAGAAGGGCAATTAGACGTAGCGCTGATGCTATGCTGAAAGGTCACAAAATTTTTGTTGATTATGAATGTGATCGTACAATGAAAGGTTGGAAACCTAGAAGACTTGGTAAGCAACTAAATCCTTAGATGGTTACAGCTTTGTATATTGTGCACCCATTGATATAATTTGTTATAATGTTTCAGGTGGTGGTTTTGGTGGCAAAAAAGAATCAGGGCAGCTTAGGTTTGGTGGGAGAGATAGACCTTTCAAAAAGCCAATTGTACCTAATATCATAAGACCCCATAATTAACATAGTTTTAATTTTATACAGTGATAGATTAAATTATTAATACAACAGGTGTTTAGAATTTTGTAATGTAAAGCTATATTGTTACACTTGTATTTGAAAGATGTGTCCGTAAACTGTTTTGATCTTGATTTTGATCCAATATAAATACTTCATTTAAACCCATTAGGAACAACTCTGAAATATTACGACTATTATTACTGTTGAAATCCTATTTTTCATTCGAACAAATGTTACATGAGAAGGAATTGTTAAAAAGATTCGTTTCATACATTTTCATTCATATATAAAAAAATATATTCTAAAATAAAATCGTAAATCTTGCTTCTTTTATTGGACCTGCAATATGTTTGGATTCTTTTAATAACCGTGCCCCTAAACTGTTTCTGTGATGTCATTCGGAAAACTTTATTTTTTTTCTAGCATCCTATAAATTCTGGCTAATGTCAGAATCACCTCGTTATTTTCCCGTATTTTCCCTCGAAAATGATAAAACAGGCGAGTTTTAAAAATAGGTAACTATCAAAGTAATTTTAACTTCATTTAGAATGTAATAATATTTCGGTTAAAATAGTGTTCAATTAGAAATTTAATTTATTTTCAGTTTCATCACTGGGGATGATTGTTCAGAAGCGATTATTTTAATATGTGAAACGCAATCTCGTGTGTTCATAATCTATAATCCAGTTTAATTGAATGGGGAAAAATTCGTTAGCGCCAAACCACTTTGGGACAGGCAGATTCAGAATTCAATTAACTATGCAGTTAGTTTTATCAGAGAATAATTAACGCATCACGAGTTAATGACTTTTGCTCGGTTAATAGCTCTACATGTGCATATAGAGGAACATCGCAACGGACTAAATTCTCCTGCCGCATCAAATTAAAATTCATTTTCATCCCATATATAAAATTACTGAACTTGAAAATTGATTGGAATCGACTGATCAAAGTTGAATAAACAAAATTTTGATGATCCTCAAATTAGAGCATCGATTCAGTGTCAATAGACGTTAATTAATCTATGATTACAGGAAAGCAAGCAAGCCAAGGAGAAGAGCTTTCTGGCGTGATGTGAAGCGACGTCGTCAGCGTCGTGGAACTTTATACCCGGGCGTCGCGGCGCCCTCTCTCTCTCGCTTGGCCCCCTCCATATATGGAGCCGCCTCGTGGTTCGACGTCGTCCACGCGGGCCGAAGTTTTTGAGCCTCCAGGCTGGCTCTGATAAGGTAGCCTCCTTCTTCGACGTCTCTGCCTCCACCGGCTTAGCCAAGGTCTCAGAGGGCCAACCCACATTCGTTTATCGCAGCTCCTATTTCGTCGGCACGGACGCTGCTCCCGTTTTCACATCACAACGTCGTCTCCTCGTGCTTTTTTTATTCACGGACACAGCTCTGAGAGGAAGCTCGCACTGAGATTTGCTAGTTTACCATGTCCGAGGAATTTTCTTGTTTAGAATCGTTTGAAACTTCATTTCCTTCGACTTCGTTCTTTCTTTATTAATTTCATTCCTAATTATGAAAGTAATTTTTTTGTATATTAAATTCATGTTGAAGCATGTAAGGGGTGAGAGTGAAGCTAGCTTCCTCCGTTTTGTTGTAAACTTTCTTGTTTTCATTGCTGGAGGATGAATATATTTAGTGGTGTCTCTGCGTAGACATAGACGAATGACTATTATACTTTTTGTTGGCAAGCTTAAATACGAAATACTTACCGGACAGATATAATGTAGCTATATCAGCGTCAGAAATAACTTATTCAATCGAAGAATTTATTTAGTGCCTTTATCTTTATTTTTCTCTATGAATAATGTTCCAGCTTGAACATCACTAAATTAATTATTTTTCATATTTTTACTTAAGATTTTTATTTCGAGTCTACGATGCATTCGCAATATTATCCTGGCAGTGTACTTGAGAGATCAGAGCTCTTATCAGAGATAAGACAGAGAAATATTTCACGAAGCTTTTACCAGAACATTTTCGAGTTCCAGAATAAATAGCTCTGTCGAATGGCATTCGCAAAGGAGTCTTTTTTTAATTCGACTCTCGTCTCTTAGCGTGACCACAATTGCGAACACGAGATTTTTCCCTCTTTCGGCCATTAAACATGCACTTCCATTTTCTTCTTTTCGTGCCGCTGGCAAATGTGCGCTCGAACGGAAGTAAAAAGCAAAACGTGAAAAGGTTCGCGAGCGGTTCTGCTACACGTTCGAATAAACTGCTATTTTTAAATACCTAGAATTACGCTCGTACTCGAGACTTGGCGAATTAGGACTCTTATCATTGAACGAGGAAATTTACTTGGTGAATTTAAAACAGTGCTAAAAATTGTTCAACGTTTGTTAAGAAAGCCATCTTTGATTTATTTTCACAGGTAAAGTTACATAATCCTCTGTACACGTAAAAATTCTTTATTTTTCGTAGCTCCTTCTCGATAAAAGCCTCAGGATTTAATCAGAAGAGTGGAAGAAAGAAAATCGAGATATCAAGAAATTATAGGGGAATGACAATGGTTCCCGTTCAGTCTGGCCAAACTCCTAATCAAGTTATTCAAAATTCGCTTCTCCCTTCCCAAACTCTCGGTCTCATCGATGATTCGTGGCAGAGAGACAGTTAGCAATGCGGGGGCGAAACAGGCGTGAAAAAGGGGGACCACGGGAAAGGGAACGAGCGATCAGCATCGCGGTATCTAAGAAGGGACGAAAATAGTAGCGTGCCAGGATCGTATCACGCTCGAGCCCCACGGACGTGTTGGATCTGCTTTCTATTAATAGCGAAAAACGAAAGGGAGCGATCGAGTCAGCAGCGGAGCCGAAGTAGTAGGCATCGTTGAAGAGTCTTGCTGCTGTCCAGACTCTGTTAGCAGGACTTCAGAGCCGCTCGAGCTGTCGCGGACTCCACATTCCACCAGCAAAAGCTCTTTTGTGCGTGCCTATTGGAAGCATCTCTGTTTCTCGGCTGGTGCCCCGAGGCGAACCCTCATACCACACATATACACTCTCCCACCCAATCCACACGTCACACCATCCACGACACACATTGCTACACATTCACACCGGTCGAGTGTAAGTTTCACTATATTTCAATTGTGTACATCAGATTTATGGCATACCGTTATTGCTGTTGTTGTTGGTTTTATTTTTTTTTTATTACGTTAACCGAACGATTTAGTGATACCTTATCGAGCCACTTGGTGTTTTGCACGGTTCGCAATTAGTGAGCTACGATTATAAGCCTTCAATTGTTCGTTGGTGCATCGTCTGCTTTTGCTCGTCTTCGTTGCCGTTTCCTATCTCACGAACAGAAGAAAAGTGTGAAAAAATTAAGGATACCAAGGTGTAAGATCAACCTGAAGTGTTTCGATGATCAAATTTTAAACACTCCGAAGGATGAATCTATACTGATGGCCAGAGGAAGTGTACAAGAAAGAGGGAGAGCTGGAAGAGCTCCGCGCCCGCGGCGTCTGACTATGCCACGACCTTATCTACTGAAACGTTTGAAAATCAGACACATCACATCGTCGACCGGTGGGACTTAAAGAAAATCGAAGGGAACGTGATAAGGATCGGATCAATTTCCGGAGGATACTTAAACAACGTGTAGTCAAACTTGTCGATACTATCGGTAGTGTTTTATCTCCTCTTCGATCGTCTTTCTTTTGGTGCGCTTCCGCTTCCTGGGACAACTACAATGATGTGACGTATGAATCGTTTCGGAAATTGATGAGATCGTTTTTGATAAGATGCACTTGACGAGCGAAGAGGGTGAATCCGTAAGATATATCTTCTTCGCAATATCGCGGAAGTATGATGGAAATTTCCCTCTGAAAATTCTTTTTCTAAATCGTTTCATTTTTTTCATTTTCATTAATTAATTGAACGAAGTAATCTCTGTTTTCCAAATATGGCGGGGTGAAAGAGCACGGATATAGAAACGAATCGTGTCGGCGCCGTGATAACTCACTGTCTATAAATGTACGTCGAATATCCTGTTTCAAGATGTCCAAGCGTGACGTCTGTAATTATGTAATATTGTATCCACTCCCACGCAGCGTGTAATGCACCTTGGGCGTAGGAACGGTGCCACGTTAATGCCAGCCATCGAGAGTGGCAATTTGGGAAATTAACATCTCTCAGGAGCATCCCTTAAAATCGCTTCGGCTACCTTCAGCTTCTTGACGCTAACAATGATCGATCAATGTCTGAATCAACGGTGGAAAATTTGACGCTGGGAAACGAGCTAACTCGCGGCAAGACGCGAAGGAGTACAGTTTCGTGGATGGATTTTTGTTTTCGATAAAATTGTTATCCAAAATGGAAGCTAGCTTCCTTGATGGGGATAGGAAACGCTAAGAAAGCTCGATGACGACAACGGCAACGAAGACGAGATGAAGAAGAGGATGGAGGAACTTCCATAGAGAGCGGGGGAGGTGAAGGAGAAAAAGAGAAAGAGAGATAGGATAAACGAATGATGGAGTAAAGAAGAGAGAGAGAGAGAGAGAGTCGCTTTTCTAAAATTAGAGCGACGAGAAAGAGAAGGGGATGGCTCCTTATAGAGCTTGCTACGTTGAGCTTGCGGCCAGGGTTAGCAAACTGGTACTCTCTTTCTCGTCTCAGAATATCAGATTACCTTTGCACCAGTGCATCGTCTGCCCCTTCGACTTCCTTTCTTTTCTAGCTTCTTCTTTCTCGCGCCTGCAAGGTTTGATTTATGCTCGACAAAACACCCTTCGTCTCTCCCTTATCAATTTGCACTCTCTGTCTCTCTCTCTCTCTATCTGTTTCTTGTTTGTTTATTAAGAATTTTCTGTGAGAAGTGCGCCACGTTCGACGGTGGACCAGCGAAAAGAACGATCGAATCGCTTTACTCTCAGATCTTTGTTGCTTTTTACATTTCTTTTTTCTTTTTTTCTTGAAACACTCGAGAAAATTTGTAAACGATAATCTTTGGTGAGAAAATTTTGTACGACTCGATCGTAGATTCCTTTGATCGTCATCGGTGTGAGATTGTGATTAGAAACTGCATAAACAACGATGCACCGTGACGCGTAACGATCCAAGGAACAATCCGAGGCATTGTGTTAATCGGTGGTTTGTTTGCGTGTTCCAGCACCCTAACCACCCGCAAACATGTCTGACGACGAGGAGCAATACTCGTAAGTATTGAAACCGGTTATGAGAAACTACCAAAAGAATTGAATTTTACCTCTCGACGTTCTCTGCCATTCTGCAATTGCGACATTAATCTTGGACAGAAGGGTCGTTCATTCTTTCGTGAAATTTTTCGTCGATGGTCAAGACGATTGTAAATTGAACGTTACGTAAGAGAAATGCACGTGTACCGAAGGATACGTGAAAAATGGGCATCCACATTTTCGTGAAATGGAACTTGTAAAACGTTCGAATGGCAGGAAATGTCGAGGATATTTCAGCAAAGCGTAACAAATAAGAGACAGTACGATAGCCTATCAGGAAATATCGTAGAAATGATAGTTCGTCGATAGATCACGTTGTCTAGTTACTTCTAGCCACTGTAGCCGATTTCTAGTCATTTATCAGGTTGCCGCATAAGTCGAGGATAACCGCGTTGTCAAATTATGAACAATATTCAAGAAAACGAATTACCTTCACGTAAGATTGAAAAATCATCGTGATTTATGGTACCCCAACACGTTGTTTAAATGTAACCGATGTTCATGGTATGTTCATACCCCACAACCCTCTTAGACTTGTTGTGAAAGTAAACCACAGCCCCGCTGTCCCTTTTCGCACCCACGTGTTTTTGTGTTGAAACAATCGTATTTGTAAAGTGTAATCGCACGAATCCCTGATGCATTGCTCGTTAAAAATGTTAATAAAATATTTCTGTGTTTAGTACTAAAATCTAGACTATTATCTTATGCCGTACTAGGCACGTCTGTATCTATTGCAATCAACTTGTCAGTCTTCAAAGTAGAAGAAATTGTGGTCAATGCAAGCAAAGTTTTCGTCTATTTTTAACACGAGGAAACATTAAACGTAGAGGTGCTAACACGGTATTTATCACTGATGAATCATTCGGTCGGATCGACTTTGATCTATATTCAGTGACAGGAACAGACACGGTCCAAAAATGTCTTGACAAATTGAATGTTTCTTAACTTTTTTATTTTTTACAATCTCTCTGTTTTCTCAATTATAAATATTAGAAAATACGAATAAATGATTAATTTTATAAACATTTTCAACGTGCAATCGAACACAAGCCCTCCGAAAATGCACTGTGCGCCCCCCCCCCCCCCCCCCCCCAACCCTGATTTTTTTGTTTTCGTTTTTTTTTTTTTTGTTCGTTCGAAGCCCCACACGTATACCTGTGCACCTTCACTAACAAAATTCGTTTTCCATTTTCTCTTTTACAGCAGCGAGGAGGAGGTGGTCGAGGAAACGTAAGTGTTGCTGGTAATTCCTTAAATCCTTCGTGATCGTTCCTAAAACATTTCTAACGTCCACGTTTTTTTCGTTTTCTCATTTCAGGAAGTAAGTTCCAGAGGCGTGTCTGCGTATAGGTGTCTGCCACCAATGGGCAGAATCATCGCGGACTATAATTCTCGTTTTCTTATCTCGATTATAGACATAGGCTCCTTTCGAGCTGACAATTAGCTCTTAGCAGTTTGGTCTAGCGTTTCTCGCCACCGGTGGTTAATTTTTGCTCTTTGATGACCGTCGTCTCTCTTCTACAAATTAGGATGTCATTTCTCTTTAGTTTTGTTTCAGACTTCGCGGAGAGATCGCTCTTTGCTGTTTCATTTTTTTCTTCTTTCTTCTTTGAAAATTTATTTTCAAACACCATTATGCATTTTTTAAATTCCATTTTAATTTTGAATTAAAGTTTGATTATTTTCTAACATGGGTTAATTTTCTTTTGATCTGTATTTTTTCAATTTATGCAATTTTGCTTGTTTTCATTTAAATCAAGTTAGAATTTTGCAAATGACAAAGATAATGTATACTTTTTACGAAAATACTAATGTTTGTCATTGCCATCTTACCTCAGGTACTGGCAAAAGACAGAAACCAATTTTTCATTTCAAACACGTGTTAAAATCATTTTCCGTTCCAAATTTTGATTTAATAACATCACTCGCGTCTGTAATGAAAAGTAATAGCAGTTCCAAGGAATTACATTCAGCCTGTTAGAGCGATCTCTCTCGAACTGTCGTTAAAATTAGAACAGTCGTGCTTCCCTTACGAAAATAGAGCAGACGAATGGCGTTCTAACTGTGAACACCTAATTACATATTAATTCGATGATTTTCGAACGACGATACACGAACAACTACCACTTACGACGTTACCACGAATTCTTCAAGGTCTCATTTGTTTGCACAAATACGATTCAATAATTTTCTTCGATACTTTTTCAATCAATCTGTATTGAACGAAGGATGAAAATTATTGAATCGTTCAAAGTGAAACGAATCAATGAGAAATGTTTTATGCTAGCATTTAATTACCAACTAAAGGAAAATAATGCTAATTAAATCCTTTTTTTTTATTTACAATGATAATAGTTAACGGTAACATTTCTCAAAGATTCATAACGAAAGAGAGGACGGGAAAGAATAATGATCGGTATCCGATCAACATTTTTGCAATTAGAATCAAACTATATAATCTGAAATTATCTCTGACTTTGGTTTATGATCTTCGTTTCTCTCTTTTTTTCAATCTGTCTATATCTATCTCTCCCTTCGCCTGAATCTCCACATACAATACACAAAAAAACCAACCAACCAACCAACCAATCAAACCACCAATCACCATCGACCGAACGACCAACGCGGCGCGAATCGAAAACTCGAAAAATCAAAGGCAGCCGGAGAGGAAGATCGAGTAAGTTTTCAGACAAAACTGTAAATTCGCCTACCATGTACGGGCAAAGCTGCTGTTAGCAATGTTCATTTCTTGTCTGTTTTTTTTTTCTCTTTTTCTTTCTCTGCCTACTGTCTCTCTATCTTTCTTATTTCTCTGTTAATCGTCTAACTGTTGTCGTTGTTTTGTTCTCGATGATCAATATTATTATCTGTTCGTCTTTGCTGTTTCTGTTCGCGCAATGTGACCTTTTTTTTTCTCTTCTACAGTAAAACTTCATTTATATGAACGTAATCGGAGGACAATACGGTTCAAATAACTGGGTCGTTCGGGATCTCTTGAACGAATTAACCCTTTGAGTGTTATGAACGTGTTTACACGTCCATAAATTGAAATAGTTCAAACGCTGTAGACGCGTCGATGCAATTATTAAATTACACCTTTGATTGTAATAAAAAATAACTCACTGAAAGGGTTAATAGGAGGTCACGTTCGTATAAGTGAATACAAAATTAAAATTTCATCATTTCGCATAAATTTCAAGTAATAATTTAAATAATAAGAGCTCTGCAGTTAATTTAATTAACCCTTTCGTTACAATTGCCTCTGCCGGAAACGTTTATACATTAACCCTTCCGATCTGACACTAGAAATTTTGTGAAATTTAAATCTGGAAGCAAAATAAATAACTATGCTCTCTATAAAAGTGTCGGATCAGAAGGGTTGAATTATCTAACTTAATATCCGAACGTAAATAAAATAATTTTCTTTATAAAATCTGATTTGCAACGAGGAATCTTTTAGCGTAGATGTTGTTGTTTCTAATCGTTATAGAAAATTTCCATTGCATGCCTGCTGAACATAAACGCTTTGCGTTTTAGTAGCGAAAGGGTTGATCGAGTATTCGCTAAGTTTCGTTCGTGTAAAACAGGGTTCAGATAAATGGAGCTCTACTGTATTCTGTACAAAACACTTTCTCTATTGCGAATCTTGCCATCTTCTCTTTATTCTACATTTTTTTTTCCATCTACTTTAGACTTGTCAACAACGAGGCGTTCTTGTACGAGTCACGTATTTCTCTTTCATTCTTCTTTTTTTTCCCTTTCTTTGAAAGATTGTACATATACATAAACGTCTCAAGAAGAGGCTGATTTTTATTCCGCGACAAATTTTCATCGTTTCTTGAAACGATTCGGATTTTCTTTTTCTTTTTCTTTTTATCGCACACGAAAAAGACATTTAAAAATTCACGTTTTGTAAACCGATCCGCTTCGTTTTTTTTACGATCTTTTTTTCTTTTTCAATCGTACCGTTTTCGCCCCTATTTCTGTACCTTCGAAGCTTTCCAATTTCACAGGGAAAAATTCGCGCGAGTCGTTTTCTTTCTTCGTACAGATGGAATTTTCGAGTTAAACGGCAAAGTAATCCGATATTCGTTGCCTTGACGTGGCGACGATAAAAAATCACCTATTCCACTCTGCTGTTCTTTATTTTTTTTTTTTTTCTTCTCTTGCCTTTAAAATTATTGTTCGTATTTACTGGCACATGTACCGAGAACCCTATTTTTTATTCCCCCCATGAAATACAGTGAAATCTGTTTATGCCGGAGAACCATTTTCTCATAAAGAATAAATTTCATCTTTGATTGATTTATGAACGATAGTGTCATTCCGAATTCTCAATTTATTTACGATATTTTCAATAGCTATAACTTCGTTAAAAATAATATTTTATTTTGTCGCATTGTTCGCTTTAACTGACAACCAGCCGTTTTCTATTAAAACTATTAATGAATAGTTTGCATAGTCGTTTTCAATAAGCTTTAAGCGTTAGATCGATGTGGCGTAAGTGCTATTTTGCGATACTTTTTATGTCATCGAATCGTAATTAGAATTTTTATATTTAGTAAGCAGCCTTCAATTGCAATTATTCTAGACAGATTTTACTGTATTTTGCTTCTGAGTCTTTTTATATGCGTCATAGTTTTTCTTTTTTTTTCTTTTTTTGGATTTTCAATTTTTTCTCGCCATTCCGATGGTGCTATCAACGATGTCGCTTGAGTACAAGCGAATCGGCAAATAACGCGAGGAAACGACAACGACTAATTTTGTTATCGTACGTGTGCATTCACGCGTACTCTTTTTTGTACTTTTTTCACGTTATTTTTCACTGTTGGTCCGTCCGCTGTCTTCATCGTATTGCCTTTTTAATGCTGTGTCGCTGTTGTTGTGTCGATGGTTGAACAAGTACGTCTATCGCCGCCACCTTGTCCTGTCTGATACACGTCCACGTATAATACGCGTCAGGTTCTCTGGTCTGCGTGAATTTTGCTCGTTTCGGATTCAAGATAATCGTGAATGAATGGTGAAACCTGCTTTGAGTCATTTTTTTAAAATTAGATACTTATTTTCTGATACGAGCATTTTATAATTTAGTCACTTTTTATGTCATGATTATATAAAAGAAAGAACTTTTTCATAGTTTCACTTTTCAATCACAAATCGAACCGTTGGAAAATGGCTCGTTGTATCCAGAACCATACCTAACTGTCTCTATATTTCCACGCATTATTATCTTTGTCGCATAATTGTCGTTCTCGCATTTCGAAAGCTCGAGCTGGGAAAGGTTTCACAAAAAGCTATGTACTTACGTAGGCATGACAAGACCCTTCCATACGAAACAGACGATAGGCTGCCTGTTCTCCTCTTTTATGTCATCGTTAAAAAAAAAAAAAAAAAAAAAAAGAAAAGGAAAAGAAAATGAAGCCATTGAAAATGGCTCGCATTCCTCGCACAATGCTCGATAACATGTCGTAAAAAAGAGTCGTAAGAGAATGGATAAAAGTGGATCGAACGCGGCAGACTGTCGTCGATTTTTGAATGACGCTGTTTCACCCTGATTGAGGATCAGGGCTTGATCGAAATACGAACAGAATTAAGCCGAAAAAGTAATTCGTACTTTAAAACGCGGCTTTCCGTCAGTCCCGTGTAAAAAAGAAATCGAACAAATTCGATTGTTATTAATGTACCTTTCCTTTCTTTTTTTGTAGGGGTAGGGCGTCCCAAAAGTAAGTTGAATCTCGAGTTTACACGTCAATAATACTTTTTTCTTTGTTCTACGGCCGCTCTCACACACCCACCGCCCTTCAAGTCCGCGCTTATTTTCGAACTTTTGGCGGGAACGAGACTGCCGATCGCTATAATCCAAGATTATTATTTTTATCCTCGCAGCATACCAACTTCCACAGTTTACAGAAATACGAACATTATTTTTGATACTTTTGAGAGGGTGTTTCATCAGGTAGTCGTACACTTGGTTCGAGGTTCTTGACCGTGTAACGTGATGCAAGCGATTAAATGCACCTATGCACGATCACGCGAATATTTACGAACAACACAAGGTTGTTTAGACGAAAAGTTTTAAGGCTTTTGACCGTATTATGCATAAGGGTTGCGTAAGAGGCGCGGCCAACTAATATAACTTGCGTCGGCTGGATCATTGCCAAATGTTTCATAAATATGTGTACGATAACGTAATGCGGTTTATTCTTACACCGTAGCTGTGGTGTTCGTTTCAAATGTACTAATGTTCACAAAACTGATGCAATTAGCAGACAAGATCATTCGATGGATTCAGGATGATAATTATTCGTAGTTTATAGACGAAAGGGAAGTTAAAAAAGTTGAATATTCGAGGAAGGAAAATTAATGAAGAAGGTGCACGTCATGTGTTCAGTACCCTCCTTTAAAAAACTTTTATGTATATTGAAATTCCTTTTTCGTTTATTATTTGTTTCCTTAAAATCGCTCCTAATGTTATATAGGATACCCTGTAATTCGTGTTGCAACTTATATGTGTAATTAAAAAAAGTCTCGATCCCGTCAAGAAGAAGAATCTAATAATTGGTGATCAGTGCTCGAAGCTCAACACCCAATTCACCCCAAAGCTCATGTTTCTCTTTTCTGTCTCTATCTCTGTCTCTGTCTCATGTTTTCCCCCCTTTTTTCTATATCTGATTAATCACCAATTAACGGCTCTGTACATAATTTCGTCTGTCCAAACACGTACACCCATGTGTATACATACATACGTGTTGATCTGTCAAGTTTTCGATCAGTTTTTCGTTGATCTCACTGTTCAAACCAACTGTACCAACTTGGTGTCGTGTTTCTTTTTTTTTTTTTGTATCCTACGTGTACGGGACTCGTTTATCCTTTTTTTGTTTCTTTTGTTCTGTTTCTTACCACTTGGTGCTCTCACTCCCCCCTGTCAGCCCCCCTTATCTGTTACATACTGTTTAATTATGTTGATCTTGCGCCATAATCAATCGACCCGCAGCAATTGTCGCAGAAACGCGTTATTCGAAAGGGTCACTGAATTTTCATCCAGTCAGATTAGCAGGCTGGCCAGGTGTCTCGGTATCGCATAATTCATGGGATTGTTTCATAATATAGTTGTACACCTGCCAACCATTACCTTGCCAACGTTGTTAAACCTTGTTTACGATATTGCAACGAGTTGTAGACGAAATTGTTGAAGAACGAATATTGGAAACCGGCCCACTCGGTCGGTTTCATTCTCAAATTTCTGACGGATACTTTTGTTGCAACGATCATTGGCAATAAACGCGTATTTAAATTTGGTTATTTTAATTGTTCGAACGATTTAAAAGAGATACAATTCGAAGATTCAGTGACCAGATAAAAACGATGATGAACAGATCGTCGATTAGCTCGTTTTCTCTTTTTTTTTTTTCTTTTTCATGTATATTGGCCAGCATCTTGGCTTTCGACTGTGGCTTATTTTCTCACGGTGTTAATAATTGATAATAATGAATGGCGACAGCGATGAAACTGATAACGACGGCGACTGTGCGTTCGCTTGCATTTTGAGTGGGGAAAGAAGAAGAAAATGTCTGACGAGAAGAAGAGTGAGTGGTAGATCTCCAGTTCTGTCCCAATTATCCTTTATCATCGTCTTTGTTACGTTGCCAAAGGAATCGGACTCCTTTAGTCTAAAGATCATTACCAGAATAATGATGTACCTCGAGTTTACTCTTAATTAATCATTGAATATCACTCCGTTTAAACCTTGAAAGAATTAGTAATTTAAAATTTATTCATTCTTAATAAATAAAGTTTAGTTTGTAGATTGTTTCAATTTTTCATCTATATATTGAATATTCTTGTTCTCGTTGTACGCTGTTCGAATCAATGAAATTTTCTCTTCGGACCTGCTGAATCGCTTTTGTAAAAATGCTTAATCGCTTGTTCTCGAACGGCTTCCAAACTATTTTTCCAGCTAAACACTAAACAAGTTGTTCAACCTTCTATCTACCCGTTCCGTCTATTTTCCAATAGCACGGAATCATCTTTAAAATTAGAGATCCTTCCCTCATTTTAAAGTTATCCTGGATCCGATCCACATGATGTAACCCGATACCATCCACGTTTACCGCGCCTTCATATTCGAGAATATCTTTGATTTTGAAGCGCCTCCAAATATCTGAAATCTATTCTAATTACTGTATCTTCTTCAATTATGTATCGACACGTTGAATAGATCCATGAAAAGTAAAATTATTTTTTAATTTCCATGGCACTCAACGCGTCGATATCATTTTTCCCATCTCCAGAAGGAATACTTTTGCCTTTGATCTCACATCATGCGCCTAATCTTCTCTCCAAAAGCTTTCTACATTTTCTGTTCTGTCCGTCCGTCCGTCTGTCTGTTTGCGTATGCGCGTGTCTGTCTGTATATCTGGCTGTTCGCGTGCGATGAGAGCAAACTAAAAGAAGCATAAAGCATAAAGCAAAACAGTCGAGAATTTATTCGCCACGAGAGAGAATGGATGAGGTGTAATAAATAATTGAAAAGTGGAACGTGAGAGTGGCGATGTACGAAGATCCTGGAAGAGATCTTGCGAGATCTCTCACAGAGGACAAGCGACAGGAACTAAAGAGAATTACTTTTGTTTTCGTTCCGGCCTGCATCAGGGAGTCTGAGAATCCCGAGTTTATGAAGGTGAGAATAAATTCTCTACGATCGCTAGACTATGGATATGTTTGTGCTAAAGAATTAAATGAGACCTAGAGAAAAATTCGTAGTCTAGTGATCGAACACAGGCACAGTATATCATATATCCAGAAGATTTAGTAGGGACGAGTATTTTACATTTTATCGTTGCCGGTGGTACACAGAGGCAGGAACAGAAGAGAAGCGACCTAGACGAACAGCTGAAGGAATACATTGCAGAATGGCGAAAGCAAAGAGCCAAGGAGGAGGAGGAACTGAAGAGATTGAAGGTTCGTATCGTATCCTATAAAGCATAGGATTTCTTTTGTTATACATCTCATGCATAGATCCAGGCTCTTCCTCCTTACGTTTCCATGTATTCTCCATTGTCCTGTTACTTGTCGTTTGCAGGAGAAGCAAGCGAAGCGCAAGATCACCCGCGCGGACGAGGAGAAGAGATTGGCTCAGAAAAAGAAGGAAGAGGAGGAACGTCGCCAACGTGAAATCGGTTAGTTTATTCCACTTCCTTTTTGTTCCGACGTTATCCTCCTATTTAGAATTTAAATTTAATTTCTGTTTCCTACGGTGAAAATGTTTCTTTTCAAGGCATATACTGACGCTCTTTTAAATTTTCAGAGGAGAAGAAACAACGTGATATTGAAGAAAAAAGAAAGTACGTTTTTTCCTTATTTATTTAAACAATGGATAATACGTGTGTATAAAATATATGGAAAATTGAATAAATTCCTTTGTTCAGGCGTCTGGAAGAATCGGAAAAGAAACGTCAGGCTATGATGCAGGCGATGAAGGATCAAAGCAAGAAGGGCCCCAACTTTACCATCACCAGGAAAGATCTGGCAGTGTGTATCTTCATCGACAGATCGAATAAACTATACATTTTCCTATTGTTAATGAATTTTTTTTAATTTTTCCATAGGGTAACCTTACGTCGGCGCAACTAGAGCGCAACAAGACGAAAGAACAACTGGAGGAGGAGAAGAAAATCTCGTTGAGCATTCGTATCAAACCCTTGGAAATCGATGGTTTGTCCATTGAAAAGCTCCGGTCCAAAGCCAACGAACTCTGGGACACCATAGTTAAGCTGGAAACTGAGAAATACGATCTTGAAGAGCGACAGAAACGCCAGGACTATGACGTTAGCATTATCAGATATTTCAACTTTAACGTATACGATATTTCAGAAATAATCATCTTGTTTCTTTGTAGCTTAAAGAATTAAAGGAACGTCAGAAGCAACAATTGAGGCACAAGGCCTTGAAGAAGGGTCTTGATCCTGAAGCCCTTACCGGCAAATACCCTGTAAGTGTCCTCGACAAAATGTAATGGAAATTGATGCAACAGATTTGCTTCAAGTACCATACAATTATTTTTCTTTCTCTAGCCCAAGATCCAAGTCGCCTCCAAATACGAACGCCGTGTGGATACCAGGTCTTACGACGATAAGAAGAAGCTGTTCGAGGGTGTAAGTAGGATTCTCTACCCATTCGAGATCAGTCGATGATTCTTCGAATACTCGACTGATCTCTGAAACACCGATCAAATAATCTGGCCTTGTTAGTTACCCCCCTTGAGAACGTTATCGAAGAACCAAAAAGAAGTACCACGGTGGACTCAAAATTATTGAAAAATGACGTAGATTAGTTAAAAATAGATTAGCTGGTTAGATGATGTTTGGAGACGAAAGGGGTAATCAGTGAAGTATATTGAATCGCAGGGTTATGACACGCTTCTCGCGGAAATCAACGAGAAACTGTGGAAACAGAAATCAGAACAGTTCATGAAGCGCACCAAAAGTGAGTCCTATCGAGCAGTCTGTTAGTGTACGAACCCCTGTTGCTTGCGTTGTTGATTGGATCCCTGAGCCCCCCGACCCCCCATCACCATCGATATGATCACGATTTCTAATTAGTGTTGAATCTCCATTTACTAAATAATCGATGTAGAATGCCAGATACCATAGAAAGTGTTGTTATGCTCGTGTTATTTCGTTTCACCCCACACACGTACAACCTGACCTTTATAGAGATACGTTCATTATTCCCTGGTAATTCATCTCAACGAAACAAAGGTCACGAATAGTTGTGCAAGATTTACTACGAACCCCCCCAGCCCAGCAGACATAAATCACGAAATATTCTGAACAGAGCTAACGCAATACCAATATCTAAAAACCATTTGAACCCCTTAGGAGATTCCAACAGATTATCGAATAATATAGAACCCATTCTAATTAGTTCTGCTCGCCATGGAAAGATTCGTATGGCGATAAAAGAAAATCCCGAGGAAAGTCGAGTGGCCCCCGTGTTGCAATGTATCCTAGCATGCCATTTTGTCCATTGATGTTTCAGGGATTGACCGAACAGCAGAAGGAGATCATAGAGAAGCAATGGGCTCAACAAAAGCAACAATTCCTCGGTCGTCAAAAGAGTACGTATTCTAGAAGCATTAACGAGCAAATGCATAGCGTTTCCATCGTTCTCATAAATATAAAATCAATGTAAAGGATCAGAAATGAACGTGTACATCGATCGAATAATTCTTCAAGTATCCCTGATATTTCTGCCAGCCGTTGAACCGTTCGGAAACGTTACGGAGGTATGCAAACGTAAAAAGCATTCCTCTTCTGTTTTTCGCTAGTTTATTGCTTCACCGTATCGTATCGTATGCATTTGCTCGAAAAACGAGTCTTGCAACTCGACCAGCGGCGGAATGTTCCTCCTGAAAGTAGGACAAACTGCAGCGGTCCCAGGGAGAAGTATATTTTAACGGCATCGAGGAGCCCTGTCTGACGAAAAGCGAGGAGAAGAGTTTTTACGAAATTGAAAGCGCCTCCCCATACGTTCTCTTTATTCTTCCTCGAGGACGTCTAAAACCATAAACTACAGAATTTTTCTCTTAAATTATTTTCTTCTTCCATTTGTATCACTTTCTAGAAAACCCTCGTTGTTCGTCGTATAGATAAAGAAATTTCTGTATTCCTGATTTTAAGTATCATCAGTTAATGATTTTCTTTGCACGAACAGCGAAGTTGCCGAAATGGTTCGGCGAGAGGCCAGGCAAGAAACCCGGAGACCCCGAGTCACCGGAAGGCGAAGAAGACGTGAAGGCTGCGGCTGAAGACGAAGAACTTGAAGAGCCACAATTCGATGAGGAAGAAGAAGAGGAGGAGGAAGAGGAGGAGGAGGAGGAGGAAGAAGGTGAGAAGAAGGGCGAAGGTGAGGGTGAAGAAGAGGAAGAAGAGGAGGAAGAGGAGGAGGAGGAAGAGGAAGAGGAGGAAGAAGAAGAAGAAGAGGAAGAAGAAGAATAGATTCTACTTCCGTTAAATTGGCACCTAACCACAGATTCAATCGATCGATCATCAAGCAATCTTGAAACATCCTTCGTACCATCGAACGTACATATATGTATAGTCGTGGCGACAGTAGAGACCAACAATGGCTCGCCATTGTACCAGAATCTCGTCGTTATAGTTGGCTGTTCGTTTCGAGTTTTACGCGACATCGAAATGGTTACGAAGGGCAGAAGAAACCGGATGTCCGTGTCTCTTTAAGGTTTCTCCGCGAACAAGCAAATCTATAATGGCGAGCATTCCGGCTGGTTAAAACAAGCTGTTACCATTTCTCGGCTGTTCAACCACTGCTATTAATACTTCTACTACTACTACTCTACTACTTCTATTGCTACTACTATTATTATTATTATTATTATTATTATTATTATATTGTACAAAATACACGCACACACATTATTAAAATAAAACGGTTTATCGTATAAGATTTCGCGAGGAATCCACCTATCTTTATCCCTAGGAGATAATCCTTGATTTGTTACGTGTATAAAATGTTAATCTTGATTGTAAATTAAGAGGACCCGATTGCAAAAGAACAGTTTTCGAAGTAAAGACGTTAACGGTGTTTTTATTCGTTATTGAAACTCTACTTACCGATTATCTTGTTTGATTTTCTTACTTCCGCTCTTCTGGACGATTTTATTAACAATAAAGTGGGATATTGTAAGAATTTGTCAGAGTGTTTAATGTTTATTTAATCTGTAACACGAAAAAGATAATCTTTCTCTAATTTAAAGTTCAATTGAATGATTAAAAAATGTTAGATTACTTTGTTTTTTACCGCGAGATTAATGGTTCATTTATAATAAATCATGTCGATTTTTAATGGACTGTATAACACGTTTGTTTATCAATTAAAGAAACATAAACGTCTGATTAAATTAATAGCAAATACAAAGTATGTATATTGAATAATTTATTATCTTCTCGCGTCTAGTAATTCCTATGATTATTCGGATTCGAGCCAAAATTTATAAACGGGTTCAAATCGTGGAAACGATGCCAATAAACTATCCTTAAAATAAACAACACCGAAATTTGCATTTAATAATTCTCGTGTAAATTTTAGTATCTCGTAACACAATAATAATTAACTAAAATCTTTATTTAAATCGATACAAAAATAATTTACAATAAATATAGTAACAATTTAATAAACAAATAACGATAGAATGAAAAATAAGAATTAAATTCGTTTCCATCGAATAGTTTCAGGTTTAGATAGTGCTCCTACAAAATGTAAATACAAATGTAAATGTACGGCTTAGTTCCGATCTGTTATCACTGCTTGAACTTGAGGAGGCCAGTCTTATTGCGGCCGTCACGGAATCCACATCTATGTAGCAATCGGAATCGGTACGATCTGTCAATTCAGATATTCGTGTGTGTGGTTATCCTTCTCTTACCATGTGTTACGTGTGTGTCCTCGTGTGGTTAGGCACGTATATGTAGGCGTATTAATATGTTTTGTAGCGTGGTTGCTCGTGTGGTTGGGGATATGTATGTGTTCACATGTGTTATACACATAATATGATTCCTCACACAATTGGGCATGTGTAAGTGGATATATAAATACGCGTGTTTGGTACTGTGATTTTTCATGTTACAGCAGATTACATGTATTATTGCATTTTTTAATGTGTTTATGTGTGTGCATCAAGCCTGGTTGCATGTTCTCTTATATATTTCTCCCTTTTTTCTTCTGACTATTGTAATTTTTATTTTCAGGTCCAAGGATCCGAACTTCTCTTTTTAATGACCTTAATTACACGGTGGACAACGATCAATCAAGGGTCAATTCCAAGATGCATCGAAGGTGCAAGTGATACAAGTCCGGTAAGTCACATGTTTAGAGTATTTTTTATCCACAATCACCTTTGCAATGTATTTTATTTATATCAGAATGATTAAATTCTTAAATAAATAAAATAGTTGCATTGCATTGATATTTTTATTTATGTAGTATTATTAACACGTTCGCTACCAACGTTCTCATATGAAACGAAAATCTACTGTTTTTAATTCGTCAAAAATATGCAGATTTACATGTTAGGTTTGCCGCCTATTAACATTCATGTCAGGTCTTTGTGACGGAATAATGACGCAAAGCATGAAGATAGAGCAAATGAGAGAAACGGTTTTCCGTTTCTGTCTCTCTCCTTCTTACGAGCATACTTCCGTCGACGTTTTCTATCTTTATCTCTCCTTTTGGATAGTCTCCTTCTAATTCAGTCGGGAGCGATGGCTACAATACGATATCGAACAGTTTCAAACCCAAAAGATTAATACTATCGCGTTAGAATTCAACGTAAGTTGGTTTTATTTTATTATTTTTAATAGGCGTTCTCAATTTGGTCAATTTTTTTATATTAACTCATTGTCTGCAGGAGCGAGATAAAATTCTAACCGTATCTTTTACAAAACTGTGTTTTATTATACTATACATTGTTTTTACAATTTATTTGAAGCCTCGAATTCAATAACTCCTTAGTGCGTTATACAAAGTTGAATTTAATAAACATATATATATTTCTATAGTATAAGATGTATTTAACAAAATGCAAAAACTTGTATTGAATTATTTTTCGTAGTTTGTTCCCAATTAATTTCTAAAATTGACCTGATTTGGAGTGCTCTATACGTCTTCTTGCGCATCATTTGAAATTTTTAAAAATGCGCGGCATGCACAGTTGTACCACCTAGCGGACGCGAGGGTATTACTCCCATCGCTAGCGGTCGCAACTATTTATAATGGTAGCCGTTGGCTCCGAGTCTCGTGTTTCTCCTCTCTTTTATACTTACTCTTTCTCAGTTTCCCTGGCTCATTTCTCCTTTTCTCTCTTACGGTTTTCAAAGTGGTCGTTCTTTTTAAGCTTCGTTAATAGTGTCGCCAAGCATTCGTCCGAGTCAGACTGTGCTGTCTCTCCTCTCTTACCTGAGTGGACCGAAATAGAGCAATCGTTCGCGAGACCGACGCGATCAACGCTAAAACGACGCTACGCGACGCTTGCAGCTGTGCAGTGAGCGAACAATAAACAATAACAAGACCGACGCGTGTCGTTAAACAGTGAGTAACGGGACCTGTTGCCGGTTGCCAAAACAATCCCGTTGAATGTCGCGCGTGCCATTGGTGAGATCGTGAAATGTTCGTAAACCAGTCTCCCGCCACGGGAACGAGGAATCGTGTGTCATGGCGGTGATCGTTGTACAGAACGGCCACGTTCACGTGCACATGGCTACAATGCTGGCTATCAAGGAGATGAAGAGAGGAAGAATGAGGAGCTGACTACGAAACGGCTTGACCGTGGGAAAACCACAATCGATGAGGTAACAGTTAACGAGCAAATACGTCATATACATATAGGATAAAAATCAATTTTCGGTTCGATAAACGAACGACAGATTTTTATGACAACCAAGCAAATTCACTTGTACACGTTACTTGCACGACGTTCCACCAGTGTTTGAACATTCGTTTTACGGAGCCAGAAAACGACGCTGTCCTACGGCAGCCGGAGCTCGACGGAAATTGACGATTTCTGTCGAGGGACGAGCGGGAACCACTTCGTGGTGGTTCGTGTTAATTCGCGATTTCCTGATAACGAGTGATACACGCGATAAGAACGATTATAAAATCTAACGTAGCGTAATGTGAGAATAACTGACAGCGCGATATAGATAGGAGCGTGAAAAGAAATTTTAGATTTTCATTTCCTTGAGTGCCTACTCAAAAAATAACCTTAACGATAAGCGTAGAGTGATGACTTTTTATCATTAATTGCATATAAAGTAGTTCACTTTTGTGATATTAGACCAACGCGTGATTAATGAGTTAAAATTTGCAACGTTCCAGCCTACCAGGTATGAAGCTCCAATCACATGTAATTGTCCTTCCAAGCCTGGTCACATTAAGTAGATGATTTAAGAAGGCACGTAGTGGTAAGAAGGTCGTGTTTTTAGTTCAAGCAATTATTCTGACCATAAAGTCACGTGCGTAGGTTGATTTATTATGAACTCCATTGTTTTCGTACAATCAGAAATAGCCGTAGGCGTAGAAACGTTAAATTAGGATCTCACGTTAGTGTTTAATCCTCGTCCAGTCAACATCGAGTCAATTTTGATCCAAGGTTAGACCTATTATATCAGCGGTAATGAAACAGAGCGTATTTCCTTATATCCTCACCTTTATCAAGAGGAACATTTAAGGAATTTATGCGCTTAATTTCTCGTATTCGGCGCTCTGAAGGTGGGAACTTGTAACGAAAGAGGAATTATCACGTGACACAGTTGATCGGTTCATTGGGTATGTAAGTAAAAGAGGGGATGGTCACGTGACCAAAAAGCGTTCCTAACAGGGAATTAGCGAACGCCATATAGAACCAGAAACATTAGTAACCGGAGTTTCAAATATCACATTTAATACTTTTTCATTAAAGAAATTAATTCATTTCTTGTACAACATTTAATTAACAAAATCATATAGCCAGCAGCACTTTTTACAGCACACGCTGTTATTACATGCTTTTAACGAATACGATGCAGTCGTATCAAACGTAAATCGTTGAAATTACAAGCCGCGTGCATTACAGATCGTTGGATTTTAAAAATAGACCACAAATGATTCAATGATTAATATCGAAAACACGTTGCACTATAAACGATTAAACGTTTATTGCGCGTTCCTACCATCGTACAATTGAAACGCCTCGAAATTAACCACGAAATGTCCCGTGTATGGTTGCAAATTGTTGCGTAATAATGCATAATAACTGTGAATACCTATTTCCTGTTATTGTACATTTGTGCGTTAACAAAGTATCTCACCTAGAATACGAGCGTTACGCTCGAATGATTAACTGCTTACTGTCGACGGAGTTCCGGAAATGCGGACGATTATTTTGTAATTGCGGGTATGTAAATATCGAAAGATTTGTATTTTCAGTTCACTGAAACGTTCAGAGTAATATTTCACTTTTAAATTGTTCGACGATTCCTTTATACTAAAAACATTTAACATGTCCCCGATAGCTATCGCATTTTCCACTGACTTTTACCTTTGTGTTTCATAAATTTATAATAATTTTTCATTTACATAATTAACCGTTAAACGATGGGTCCGCTGATACGGCAACAATTTACATTTAAAATATCAAAGTTTATTTTGTCCATACTGCAGGGAATTAAATTTGATGCAATGGATTGATCGTGAAAAATTCATGAATTAAATTGATAAATTAATAGAGTGTTCAAACGTGATAAGCGAAATTTACTTAACTAGGTTATTCGTTATCTTCTTAATATTAATAATGCTTTTTAATTATATTCATAATTAGAATATAAAGTATACTTTGAAAAAGGTAACGCTTTCTTGTTTATCCGTTTACGTAACGGAATATAATGCACCTGCTTCTCTTTAAAGATCAATACTTTAAAGGAAAGTTCTCACAGTTCAAACCATCACCCTCTTTCACATTTATTTTTATAATATTAGCACCTTATCGGCAGGCAATTACTATACAATATATCTTACCCTTAGATTTAAAAAAATGTGTTAAAAAATTCTTTGATTCATAATTGAAGTATCAATTTTATATTGCAATTTTATCCAGCTATACATATAATATACAAAACGTTTTCACGATCATTGGTTGAAGAGAAACGGAGTGATGT